GTGGTTGACATGACATACACGTGGGGCAGATGGAAGGGGAGGGAGGGGTTAGAAAAAGACGGTCTGTGCATTTTTGTTTTTCCCTGGATGGCACGTGTGGGAGTGACTTTGGTTTGTGGGAGAAACCTTTCATCACATCATCATCACATCCACACCCCCCCCATTCCTCACTCAAGTCACACCTGATTTGATATTTGTTTTTCCGTTTCCTCTTTTAGTCAATACAAGACGTACATGTTTTGATGGTCTTTTCTATTAGTACACAGGTACTCGTATTTCTCTGACGTTTGTGGACGCGACTGATATTGCATGCCATACAAAAATACGCAAAGCTCATGATTTTGGGTGTATGCAATAATGGCCCAGTTCAAAAACGTCAGTACATACATACCATACCGTGCTCGCCCTGCCTACTAATGTTGCTGTTTTTCTTTTGAATGGAGATCAACAATATCACGGGAGGCAAAGCGGGCCGCGGGGCAGCCGAGTCAGTTGAAACCTGAACGGAATGGAATTACATATGGGAGGGGGACAGCAGTTACGGTGGTCGGAGCATGGCCGCGGTTTTCCGACGGGCGAATTGCTCTGGGCGCTCCTCCTTCTGCTTTCAAGAGAGGTTGGGAGATGATGACTCGTTTGTAAGGTTAGTGCTCGACTCTCTCTCATGATCACTCACTCACTGACTCTGCCTCAATTTACGATTGCATATTGAAGATCTGATATAAAAACGGGTGTGCGTCGTCGTCGTCGCTGTGGGGGCTGGCAATAGCCAATTGGGGGATAGATGGTTACTAAACAAGGAAAGAGCGTTGAAAGTGGGACCCGGGGACTTGACCTAAATCCTGTTGGAGCTAACTAAGACGAATGGCCCGTGTGTGAGGACAAGAAGAAAACGAGTGAGAGGGAAAGAAGGGAAAAATGTGACGGGTCATTACATGCTCTGCCGGTAAGCCACTGCGCCCTTGAAATTCCAATCAATCAAAGTGAGATATCCGAAGGAATACGGCAGGGCAGGGCAGGCTGCAGAGGAATCGGAATCTCCACCCACAGGTGTTGAAGATTGAGATACACAGCAAAGGACGATTGATGGGGGGCAACAGAGAGGTCCAATCACACCATGTCTGTAAAGTGCGTTACTCTGCCTTGGTCAATCGATACAATTGATGGTAGGGCCTTGGATATCGGTTACACTTATCTACTCGATATCTGTGTGCTATTCTATTATTATGTTTACAGGTGCATCAATGGAGCTTTCATCCGGCCACTCGTCCGTGGTCCTTTAAACCCGATCGCTTAGTAGCCTCTTTCTACTTTGCACGAGGTCTTTCTCTTCTAGTACTTGCGCTCGAGAAAATCAATTCCTCACCGCAGCACGCAAATTCGTCTATCATACGTACTCCTCCCTCTTGATCTACACATCTTCAATTACAACTGACGGGTTTGGGCCTTGCGATTGCTCTCTACGCCGTACTATTCCGTGATCTATAACCGCCCCCCTTTAGTTGTAGAATTGTAGAGATACAGTCGCCGTCATGTTAAATAGTTAGCTTCTTTAAAGAGAGAAAAATTGATACAAAAAAAGAAATAAACAATCACCCCTCTCCCATCACCATCCCCCACCCTGCTGCTCTTATAGCCCAGCTCATCCAGTTTCTCTTCCCCTGCTCCTACCGTTACCTGTCGTCTGTCACCTCGATCCATCCAAGGTACCCTTTCCCAGTGGCTTTTCAAACCCTGAACCACCACACCACACCGCTGCTGCATTCGCATCTGCCCTGGTCCACCCCCCTTCCCAATCCTACCCACGCAATCCTCGACAACCAACCACTACTCTATCGATATCTGGCTCGAAACCCAGTACTTTTTGATATCACGAATCGAAAGATAATAATTCCGCTGAGGGTCAAGTGTAACGTAGTGATAACCATTGGGGCATCAAATATCATCATCGCGCCGCTCAGAGACATTTTTGTTATTTTTGTTCCTTTTCCCCTTCTTTAACAAGCCTCCCCAGTCATCCGTCAACGATCTTGCAGAATCAGAGACCTGGCCATCCTCGTATCCTTCAACCAATTCGTCCCAACTAACGCGCCAACCAAAGGAAAAAGGAAAAATAAACGTATGTACGCAAGTCATCTTCCTAGGCGGGCATCATTCATTCCCACACACACACACACACACACCCTCTACCCCGTCCCTCTTTCGCCCATCGAATCGATATCCTTTTTTTGTCTCAAGAGTTACATGTACCCTATGATTGCCAAGTCCCAAGTCCAACGTCCCAGCTCATCCACACCTAACCCTAAACACGCCCCTCCACGCATCACATCGCATATTATTCTTTCATCCGTGGTTTGATGGTAGCGCGCAGTACACGCTGCCAACACCGCGCAAAAACATCCACATTCCATTCCAGAGAAGATCCGTAGCAGAATAAGGGCTCCAGTACTGACATGTTTCACAAAATGCTCTCATAGTTCGAGCTTCTCCTATTAGACCTATCATTGAATTGAAAGGCTGCACAGCCACACCATTGAGACTCAATCACCAATCATAACGATCGTCCAATCACTGAGGCAACAACCGCGGCATCTCTCTTACCCAGGGCCCAGTTTAATTCTACTAAACGTGGGAGGCAGTTAACCAAGTTTCATACAGAACTTCATCCAGTCATCCTCCATCACTGCCGTTCCTGACACACCAACGTTCTCTCAATTCAGTCTATGCAAGAAGCAAGCCTATCTCCGAGGTACATATAAATCTGATAGATTAAATTTTGCGAGGATTATTGTTCTTTGTGTTCCACAAGTACCGACCACCGAGCCACTCACCCCCCCTAGCTCCTTTACCCCTGTCTAGCCGATTTCCTTACCATACCATTTACGTTCCCTGCGCGATTACATATCCTTGACCAAGACTCTTTCACCCGGCAATTTTCCCACACCACACCCCTTCCAAGCCGTCCCCGTCGCGCCGCAATATACCACTAGTAGTACCTACATCCAGTAGCTACCTACCTAGTTCGACATATTAATTCAGGTCACCGCCAAGAACGTGACCGAAGGATTCCATCCCATCTGGCTGGCGCGTAGTACACACTGTGTTTTGTTTCGGAAAGCGCCCAGCAATTATTCCAACGGCAACATCTCACCACAAATTTGTCGTTCCAGCGACCGGCTTTGTGTAGAGTAGTGTTCTGGAAAAGCAACCACCATAGCTTCTCTTGCAGGTTATCAGCTGCGCGATTACGCCTGACTAGTCAACTTTAGCTTGCACCATCCTATCAGCATTAGTTATACCTAAGGTACTTGTTTTTTCCTTTCCTTTTATCTTTTTTCTTCCCATTCTTTCTTTTCCCTTTACAACCCAATTTTCGCGTTCGTTTCTTTCGTCCAATCGTTCCAATTGCTCTTGCTGTAAGGGAAAACAAGAAATTTGCCGGGAAATAATCGATTGCTTGATCTCTGGTGAAATCTCCATCATTTCCTAGTCATTTCTCGATCGCTTTTCTAGTCTCTATCTCTACTTTTGTATCTGGCGCCGCGCTTGGCCTGACCAAGAGAGAGATAGAGGAAGACGTATCATTTCCCAACGCCCCCTCCTGATTTCAGTGATTGTTTAGCTTATTCCCTGCCTTACATCACTTTGATTTTACTTTCCCACCTTATTTTAGACCTTTTATTCTCATTCGCAGACGAAGCCGTTATATCTTTTTTTTCTTTTTCCTCTCTTTTTTTTCCTTAGCGTTGCTTTTTCCGTTCCCTTTTCATTATTTTCCTGTTCGGGGTTTCGGCACGCATTGGCGGGCGTTTGATACATACGTACTCGAACTGGTTACCGTTATTACGTCCCGCATCACTGTGGAGACTACTGGTCGACCCTACGCTAGTTAATAACTAATTTTTCTTCCCGGGAGGGGGGTGTGTGTTTCTGTATCCATATCATATCGGCTTTTTTCTTTAGTTGAATTTTTCTTAGCCCTTTTTTTTTACAGTTGATTTTTTCCCCGTTCGTTGCTTTTTTTATTCTCTCTCTTTCGTGGTTCTTCTTCCGTCTGATTCCTCTTCAGCAACAGAAATTAGCAGAAGTCTTATTATTTTTTTCCCCCTTGACTCTGTCTGCCTGTCTGCCTGCCTGTCCTCCTCCCCCTACCCTCTCTGGTAGTTTCTTTTTCTGGTCTTTTCAAGGTGATTGCTTGCTCGCTTTGCTTGCTCAGACAGCGTTGTCCCCTTTATTCACATTACATACACATACACATACCTGCCCGGCCATCCATACCCACATCCACATCTCGTACATACATATCCCATCCAGCCATACGTTACATACATCATCCACGTCCCAAGCATACATTACATACATACACCACACACAGATCAAGCAAGATAGGGACAGGACAGGAACTGTGGACCTCGAGCTAACCAAGAATTCCCAAGGCTTCAGTGCACCATCCTCGATCACTCACGCATTCACTCACACTCACACTCACACACCCACGCACCCACGCAGCCAGCCATTCTGTCCATCCACCACCCATCATCCATCAACGCATACATACACATCTCCCCACCTGGGAAAGAGAAATACCTAAATAAATAATATTTTTCTCAAAAAAAGGAACCATCCCCCTTCCACTCACCACCCACGCATTCCTTCAATTCCCAGAGGAACGGTGCTGTGCCACGCCTGCCCAACCACACGGAAGAAACAGATCTGATCCTTACGGCAAGCATCAACGCCGTCATAATTCGCACTATTGAAAAAAAAATAAAAAAAATAAAAAAAAGGAATCGGAAGGGCGTTGCAGCAGAGACAGCAGAGAAGCAGAAGCAGAAGCAGTAGACAGAACAAGAAGCGTTAGATCCTGTTAGGGAGTAGCTTAGCACCTCCACAGATTTCACCGCCCTCTCCGTCGTCACCGCAGCCCCATCCAAATCCATCTCTCTCCCCCAGTTGCAACAGTGGCATACCCTTCCCAGTCACACCACAGGCAGCAAGCTATGTCGCATCCACCCGGCAGCTATAAGGAGGAGCCGGCCACTGAACCGGATAGCCACCCAGGTCACCCTCATCAACAGCATCCGCCGCCACCGCCCTCCACTGCTACTTCCCAGCAGCAACATCCTCAGCAGCAGCAACAACAGCATCAACAACACCCCCAGCAACAGCAGCAGCACCCTAGACCTAACCTCCCCCATCAACAACACCCAGGACAGCAGCAGCAGCAGCCTCCCCCCTCCTCTTCTACTTTCCCATCGCCGCACCCCCCTCAACATCAATCCCCTTTCGCCCAGTCTTCAAACCTCCCCGGTTCACAGCACCCTCACTCTCAAGAGATCGCTTACTTTGCCCATCCCTCCCCATACGGCACTCCCGGCGGTAGTGCTCCTTCATACCCACCTCAAGGTCCGTAGATCCCTCCGATCTTCCCCAGCATATCCTATTCCTTTATATTTGCTTTTCACCCACCCCTACTTTCCACCCCTTCCCTTCTTACCTTCTATCCTTCCCTCACACCTTCCCTCACACCTTCCCTCACACCTTCCCTCACACCTCTGCGCCGCCTCGTGTCTCAGCAAGAAAGAAAGAAAAAAAACCAAAAACGTTCCTTGACTAACAACTATTCTACGAAACTATTATACAGATTTGATGGCTACCCACACAATGAACCGTCCACCGTATCCCCCAATCTACCACACTCCTCAGAGCAACTCGCCGGCCTCTGTTGCCTCTCCCACAGCGGATCACCGAGTCTATTCACAACAGCCTATGCAGAACCCGCTATACGGGTATCCGCAGACATACCCCCCAATACCGGCTGGCCCCCAGAACTACTCCAGCCAGCCTCCTCACCATGGTCTCACACAGCCGTTGTTGATGTCTCAGTCTTCAGGACAGACCATGACTCCACCACAACCTCATCACCAGCATGTCGCACCAAACACTTCTACCGCGGCAAAGATTTCCCAGACTCCTATTCACAGAGCCTCCCCATCTACCCCCTCGTCTGGATCTAAGCCTGGTGCTGGAAACTCCGCGATCAACCCGAATGCCGCTCCTGGGCCGATCCCGGCGACAACCCCATTGGTGGTCAGACAGGACAATAACGGCGTGCAGTGGATCGCATTCGAGTACTCTCGCGACAGGGTCAAGATGGAGTACACCATTCGCTGCGATGTCGAGTCCATCAGTGTTGATACCCTATCCCACGAGTTCAAGACCGAGAACTGCGTCTACCCGCGCGCTTGCTGCCCCAAGGACCAGTACCGGGGTAACAGATTGGTTTACGAGACCGAGTGCAATGCCGTTGGCTGGGCTTTGGCAGAGCTTAATCCTTGTTTGAGGGGGAAGAGAGGCTTGATCCAGAGAGCTGTAGACAGCTGGAGGAATTCTAACCAGGACCCCCGGCTACGAAGCCGAAGGGTCCGTCGCATGGCGAAGATCAACAACCGCAAAGCAAATGCTCAGGCTGCTCAGGCTCACCTCGGTGCAGGTTCACCTAACGTTCACAATGGTGTTCCTTCGGCCAGCGTAGGACTCGGACTTAAGGGGCCTCTTGTCCCAAACGCGCAGCCACAGCTTCACCACCACCACCATCCGGGAACAGCTACAGGTCACAATGACTCCCCAACCGCAGCGAACGGTGAGGAAGATATGGGCTCGATGTTGCACCACCACCATCACTCTGCCCAAGCTCAGTATGGAGTCCAGGGACAGATGCCCTCAAACACTAGCTCTAGGTCTGGCTCAGGACACCTTTCCCCGGCCGTTGGAGGTGAAGAATTCGGGAATGGACATGCGGGACAGCATCATCATCATGCTCCGACAAGTGGGAATGATATCAGACCGAGGCACGTCTTTCACGGATATCCCACTTCTTACCCGTCGGAAAACGTAGGGGGAGCTTCTATGCCACCTTCGATGCACGATAGCATGGACCCCATGGGCCCTTCATCCAACACCCCCAATGCCGTTACCGCGTCTACCCCACCCAATAACACCTCGCTGTTCGGAGACATCCCGGACCACAAGCGTCGGAAGTTTATTCTTGTGGATGACCCGGCCCGTGGCTCCCGTGTCCGTGTCCGTGTGATGCTTGACCAAGTTCACATGCAAGAGATCCCGGATTCTTACCGCAAATCAAACTCTGTCTACCCGCGTTCATTCATGGCGTCACAGATGGAGGACGATTCGCAAACAGAGACCCAGACCCAGATTATCGTGCCCATGCTCGATGGATCAAGCATGACCGTGTCACCACCACCACCCAGTAACCAGAAGAGGAAGAAGGAGTTGGATTTGAACGAGTTGGGATACAGAATGTCGTGGAGCCAGTCCAGAGTCTTTGCAGGCAGGACTATGTTTTTGCAGCGAGCTCGTAAGTCACGGCGAACTTCCTGCGGCGCCGTGAGCGAGTGTTAATTTGGTTTTCTTTCTTTTTTAGTCGACGCGTATAGGAATAAGATGAGGAGCAGCATGATGGCCGCCGGAACGGATGTTGTTAACTCAGCGCCTCACCTCGAAACTCGGGCCGGAAAGAGAAAGTGGTTGGAGAGAAACCGCCGGTCGAGGCCTTCCGACTCCTCTTAATCGTATCGACACAAAAAAAAAATCATATTAAAATTTTAACACAACACGAAAAGCTTTGGCATTTTTTAGATTTCTGTTCTATGGGAATGTATAGGGAAATACACACAATCTGGGGGGAATTCTCGGCTTGGCTTTGGGGGGTTTACATTGGGATAAAGGGCACTGGGAACATGGAACAGTTCTTATAAAAAGAAAGAGGAAAAAAGGGAAAAAGCGCTGACCAGCTACCACCACCACATTGTTATCAATCCAGGAGCAGAAAGCAAAAGGAAGGAAAATTGAAAATGTTTTAAAAACGTTGATCGTTTTTACTTTCTGTATCCTTGGATTCATTTTTGTTCAATACGGGGGGTTATCTCTTTCATCTTCTCTTTTTTCCTTTCTTTCTTTTCTCTTCTAAGGGTCTATTATTACATCGTTGATATGGGAGGCGTATTATCATTATTATACCGAATTTTTTCCTTCTTGTCACTATCTTTTTGTGTTGTATTATTTTCTTCTATGTTGTGTTTTTTTCTTCATATTTCATTACCTCTTTCGCACTTGTTTTAACGTTGCTGATGGGGACATTCCGATCGAACGACGTTTCTATGGCATGGCTTCTTACGACCCGTTTACGAAAAAAAATCCATTTAACGAAACCCTTTTCTTCAGAAAGCCACCTCTCGCCCTTCATCTCATGGGCAGACAATCTTCATTTTTTTCATTTCTATCTGCTGTTTCTTCTACAATGTCTTATATCCCCTTGTTTGTACGTACGTATCTGTCCTATATCCTTGTTGCTACTATGGTGGTGTTTTTATTTTACTTTCTTCTGCGTGCGGGGCGGCGGCGGGCTGGCGGGGGCTATTTGTTTTTTTGTATGTTTTCCCCCCTTTTTCCTTTACCTGTATGTGTGTCATTTTGTATGTTATCTAGTAGCTAGTACAAAGAAAGAGTCTTTTTTTTTTTTTTTTTTTTTTCTAAACGAGGAGAGAGCAGCAGAAGATATCCTGTATGTTTTTTAAAGACAGTTTTTCACTATTTGTGTTTTTTCTCGGGCTAGAATTAGTAGCAGTATTTAGGTTTTCTGATTTGATTTGATGATGGTGAAATTATCGAATGGCAATTGTTTAACTACATACTACTATTTTTTGACCTTTTTTGCCTCCCTCCGCCCCCCCGAAAATCTGCAAGGCATCCATCTATAGATCTAGGACAGTGTATACGACGTAATTTATTACAGCAGGATCAATCAAGCAAGAGGTTAATCCGGATTTTCTGTTTCAGAATTCGAACCCGATCGGAGTTTACCAGGATAGGATATAGGAATTCTAACTAAGCCAGCCCTAGCCTAGCCCAAGTAGAGAGTACGTAGTTACAATTGCAATTGTAACCCCATATGTGCACTACGTATAACTAAGCTGCCCTGAGTGAGGAGCAGCAGGAGCAGCGCAACAGCGCCAGGAGAAGAAGCAGGAGGGAAATGCTTACCGGTGATCAGATGCCGCACACACCGGTATCGATAGCAATATGTGAGTATGTGTGTTCCTGGTGAGGATCTATCGTGATCAGGGGGGGCAAGCAAGTGGCGTGGGGTGTTGGGTACGTTGTTGGTCTAATCATTGGTCTTTAACGTTCAACGTTTCCGCTTTTGAAACTTAGTATTGCTAACTATCGACACCGCGGTCAAGCAAAGAAGCAGAAGCAGCAACAACGCAGAGGGGTTGTGCGCACGCGGTGTCCCTTTTTTTTTTTTTTTTGGTTCAGGTACAGGTACGAGTTTAGTAAGTGTGCAGTGTACCTATTGTAGTACTGGGGTTTGGTGATTGGTGTAGCAAGCTGATTGGTCGCTGGTTGCTGGTTACTGGTTGCTATTGCCAGGTACCATGTAATGTACAACGTTTTATGTCATGTTAATTATAACAACTCTTAACTACTTGGCTACATACACACAGACATACACCACGGACTCTCATTATCATAGACCATGCCCCGTCAATCCAGTAACTAGACGCCAGACCAGACAAGTCCAGCCCATCAAACCGCTCTTCTAATACAAACCTCACAATTTTTTTTTCCAAAATAACGATGCTGATCGTACCTGGCTATTACTGGCGCAGGGACGAAGCATACGTAACATCTAATCCAGGCACATCATCATGGCGGGGAAACTCGGCGGGTAAGCCAGGGGCTAGAAGGAGGGAATTAAAATGAACGGGATATGAAATCAGGAGATTCGATGGAAACACGGAGGGGTGTGTGGGATGAGGGACGTTTCCCGCGTACACAAGGCGGGGCCCGGATTATTCTTGCGTGTGGGGATTTACCGAATTAGATGCCCTGGCCAAACAGTGAGTGAGTTAGGTTGAATGATTACCCGACAGCTTCAAAGAAGGGTTCCTTCGGAAAATTTTCAGTGGCTAACGTACTGACTGGTAGGTAAGGTTCACTGCTAGTTAGATAGGCACCTGGCAGTCAGTAAGATAGAAACTAAAGGTAAATTGGAAAAGTGAGTCTTTGGATGACTGAGCTCCTCCACCATGAGGAAATGGTAATGTAGCCCGATTTGTTTTCTTTCAGTCCATCGTACATTATCTACTAAACCCAGTACCTGGAATACTAGAAGAGTCTTCGCCCAATTATTAGAACGCGGCAGGTACCGGTAATATTTGATAGTTAGCGGGGCGAAGGAAAGAAGTAAGTTAGGGGGGTGCTTAATATTCCGGTAGCTCGGTATCTAGAAAGTGGGAGGGTCGAGATTCCAAGGGTCATCCATGGTCACGTATGCATAACTTTACGTTGCTTGTGCTTCAGATAAAGTAGTCACTACCCCACCCCCCTGTCCATGTACTTTCATACTGGTTTTCTTCCACCATCAACCCCCCATCCCCAGTTCCCTGGCCTGCATCCCGTCACACACGGGGGTCGGGCGAGCCTCCAGGAGGGAAAAAAGCTCATCAAAGCTGAGAGTGTGCCGGGTGGTCTTGATTAAAAACTCTAATTGATTTGTTTTGTGTGTGGATGAATAATATAACGATCATGATGGGTCACAGGTATCATCACATCATCAATCTTTATTACCTGCCGGGACTGGCTGGACTCAGCTATCGTGGTCCAAGTAATGCTGGATTTTTGTATTATAGTTTATTATACTATACAGCAATAGCCGTGTTAATGATGATTATGATGATGATTGATCATGAAGTAATTAGGAAAGGTGCGAGAGCGACATGATGATGAGATGTGAGATCAGATCGGGAGCAGCTTGCGTGTGGTGCATTTGCGTTCAATTTGCCACTTGCTTGTTATTTCTGCTCCTGTTGGTTTTGTTATTCCTTTTTCTTTTCCCCTCTCATCATCATGTCATCTGCTTCCCATCTGGTTCGTCGATGAGTTCTTTTTCTTGCTGGTGCGATGCACCGACCTGCCTTTCAATCACACGTCTGATCGGTAGCGGCTGCGATGACCGGGCAGAGGGGTGCAGCTGTTTCAACGGCGAACCTGTAGATTGACATCTCGTGGTGGTGGTGGTGGTGGTGCAGTTTGATATTTCTGGTGTCTAGCGCTCTCTCTGGCACAAGGCGAATAAGAAGAGGAAGGCTGTGTAGAGAGATACGTGTATTAGTTATTTTGCAGGGTCAGAGCTTGTTTTCCCCCCTCGTTTTAGATGTTCACTTGGTGCGGTGGCAGTTGACCACGGCTATATTTGCCGATGAAGATTCGATGAATATTCGATCATGAACTATCACTCACTACCATTTCTGCCTGATTTCCCGTCTCTGGCATTGGTGAAACTATCAATGCGTTGTTTTGGAATGTATCAGCCGGATATAGGGGGGAAATTGCAGTTTCCCCGCACGAAAACTGCAGCCTTGTGGTAAGAACACGTTTTATTTTCGCTCTTTCAGCAACCCTGGATCGCTGTTTCTCGGAGAAATTTTGGGGGAAAGAGTTTTCGGCAGTAGGCAAGGAGCCTTCGCACTATCTGGGTTCGCGACCGTGTAGGAGATTCTATTCTGCTCTCGAGGCGCTGCCAAAACTCGCATTTCGGGTAGATACGATCAAGCACGATGCTGCGAGCTCCACTTCACCTCTCCCCGTAAAACCCCAAATATGTTCACCCTGATAAGTGTAGGAGAATCATTCATCTTCTAGTCTTTTTTTTGTTATCACTATCACTCGTCCTTCCGTTGTTCTTGGGGGTGTTCCGTTCCTCTATCCTCGGCCGCCGGAGCTAGAACTGCATCGTAAGAGATAAGTTCTAAGCAAAATGAATCAGCAGGCTTCGTTAAGGTTCCGGACCGGCACTCACTTTCGAGAAAGGACTATCGTATATTCATGTCTAACTGTTGGTATCTTACTAAGACTCAGAAGCACTACGGTAAAGAAATGGAGCCTTGGAGAATCGAACAGGGCTGATGGCTTCTCGAAAAGCCGCGCTGAGGAGCCATCTCCCCAGAGAGACTCGCGTTTTGCGTTTTGATTCGTATAAGCTATTGGACTGGAGCTTAAACCAAAATAAAAGAACACGTTATGGCCTACATTTGGTTGCGATGTTGTAGTATTTTCATCGGGGTCAGGATAACTACCCTCTATTTATAAATCGTCTAAATATCAAGATCAAGGCTAATCAGTACGCCGTATCGATAAACAAATCTTGATACGGAATGTCTAGTTTAGTTTATGGTTTTCTGTCCCAGATAAGCTTCGGTTTAGAGCAAAGGTTTCTTTACCGCAGGCATGGATAATCCGACATACAACTTCTACATCCTGCTGCCGGTATCTTTCAGTTGGGTCGGCATCCTGAGCTCCTGTCGCCCGCCTCTCAAACATTTACCCTACGGATATATCGTTCGTCTTTAGAGCCATCTTTGAGCTTTCTTGGGAGATTATCATTTCCCAGCGGAGACCGAGCTTAGGATTTGTTTGACTTGAGAGCCATTAAGCGTGTCGTCAATAATCTCGACGGCTATCCTCAAAGAAATATCACCAAGGCATATATCAGATATTGCGACTTGTCTGTAGCGTCGTGGTCCGCACACGAATGAATTATCAATCCATCATTAGCGTCGCGGTTCAATGATCAAGGTGCATTCCTCAATCACATACCATCACTCGGCGTACTGATGCTGACAATAACTTACCCAGTTCCAACCCATGGATGGGTTACGCCCCAGGTTCGTAAGTTATCCAGCGGAATCCTTGAACCAAAAAAAGGACAACACAGGGCCTGACCAAGCGTATCAGTCCAATTACGGTTTCTTTCTTTCTCGGTAAATTCTCTCTGGACAACGATATTTGTTGGGCGCGCTGATTCATGTATAAAAGTACGATGAGTTGGAACGAACCCTTGTCCTGCTCAATCCGGTTCGCGGAGGAGAGAAAAGAGTGTTCGGGCCGAAGAGGTCAACTCGAGGCGAAAAACTCGGTTCGTGGAACGGTGGTCCGTCGAAAGGAAGCCCTGCCACATACGCATACACCACTCGGGACAAAAATTGAAGTCGCTAGCCGGCTGTAAGAAAGAAAATCGGGCAGGAAAACCCTAACCCTAGAGTCACAGATGAGGGTCCATGTGGCCTTTCAACGCTGTCGAATCGGCCCGCAAGGTACAGCCGTTGCTACACGCATGTAGCCAATTAGTATAACGTGGAGCAATCTGAGATGAAGAGATGAGATGGGAGCTTTCTGAAAGGAAGGTGTTACACTGTAATAATAGCTCAAGTAATTAATTCCATGAAACTTTTCATGGTCTCGTGAGGGTTTTTGTTTTGTTTCGTTGGTTTGGTTGCCTCGGTTATTATCAAAGCCCCGCTCGATCGGGATTACTTTGCAAATTCAGTGTATTTCTCTGTCTCTCAAGCCGCTGGAGCCTATTTATTTCGGGGTCGTGAATTTATGATATAAGATTTTGCTTTTCATTGGCCGCTTTTGCGCTTGGGTTGTAGAGTCAAGAAGATGGTGTGAATCTTGGACCACACGAGACAAAATGTGAGCGGGCTAATTCGAGTGATATATCGTGAACCCAAAACCAGCCATACTAGGATGTGGAGTGGGTTAAGACATATATCTTCAGGGTCGGCCTGGTTTGATTTGGTCGATTGATTCATGGATCGGCCCGGTTATAAGAGATAATATATAAAGGGTATTATAGTTATACCTAGATAGTTAGGTCTGAAAAGTTTCGGAGTAAAGGTCTCGCGACTTCTTGTTCTCGTGCTTCCCGGTGGACAGAGCCGATTTATCTTATTTAAGAAACTAGTTGAAGATTAATATCTTGACTGAAAATTGGAGGGGTGATATAGAGGATATTATACCTATTATTATTAAGCTTAGATGTTACGATTACTTATATGTCCCCCGACTCCATAAGATGATAGTCTCGTATAACGTCGGCCCCGATAAGCCTTGAGTCTACTAATATTATTTGTTACATTGTATGGAGATCGCGCTTTTTGGTTTCCGTATTCGTATAAAGAAGCCTTCAGTAATAAATAAAAATGTATGTATCTAGTATATCATACTTAATGTTAGTCAACTATTCTGATAGTTAGAAATAAACGTACCAGCAGATTTCTAAACACATATAGACAGAGTGTATCAGTATGTCCTGGGAATATCGCCGATATTCGGCAGCAAAGGGATACAGTTTGGTGCGTCTCATTCAGGTCAAGGTCTTACAATACCTAAAGATTGAGGATAGCAACTAGAGATGGGCATATTTCAGATAGAAGTGATGATGGACTCAGATAAAAGAGTGTTGTGGGAACAGTTTTGGAACGAGGTTGGGAGTGGAGGTTGTCAAATTAAGCTTCCGCAATGATGCGCGCCTAGGGCTAATATTTGGCCCCAACCGAGCCCCCCTACTACATGTAGTGACAACACCTTATCGCAGTGGGAGAGGTTGCTGCAGTATTACATGTACTTATAGTAAGAGAGTAATGTCTGCCTGAGCCTCAAACCCCTTTCTTGACCTTAGGATGAATTCCTGGACATTCTCGACCCGTTACTATATGCATCCTTCTTAACTCGTAGTAAATGCGAAATGTTGATCGCAGCGCCCACCTTATGACCGCATATCTCATTTATATGTATGTTGGGGTCTGGTTTACGGGAAACGTCATAGCCAGACTTGAAGATTTTCCTATTACAAGGATATGGGGGTAGGCGGCCATGGATGCGGGTTGGTTATAAGTGATCACTCGACATCTATAAACCATAGTTTATAATTATGAGACTTTGATGATAGAGGCTGTCCACACCATGGCCACCGGCCCCCCCACTCTAGAAGAACACCCACAGCAAATATCAACTCCCACAACATAGAGAACCATAATTATAAAGAAGTATCGGCAGCACGAAAACAATAGGCTGATCCTTCACCGCGGCCCCTACTGTACATACTAGCCATATCCTCGGCCGCGAAAACGTTCAAGATTAGGGCTTGCCGAGCTTCAAACTTCCTGGGGTGTTAGTGATAGGAGATATACACTTGGGATGTTGTAAGGTGCTGATATTAGAATCACATAGTATCTCGACTTAGTTACACTGCACTCGATTGATTGATTGATTCATTGATTGATTGATTGATTGTACAGTCGACCCTTGCTATAAGGGTACGGAAGTTTCTAAAGACCGGATCACAACTTATAACTTACCTTTATGGAGCTGAGAAATCGGAGTTAGAGTTATTTCAGTTGATTTCTGGTCCAAAAATGAATTAATGGAGACTTGCGAGTTGTAGAGAAATTTGACCTTAACCCTTTCTATAAAGGTATGCGCCAAGCTTCGAAGGGTACATGTATTCTCCCCCCTTAAGCTTGTAACAAATACCGACTCTTAAAACAGCAAACTTTTGTGTGGCTTTACTAATAGATCGTGTTATCTCTCTTATCAAATAATAGATCTCCCATACAAATTTAATTCCTCTATTATAGGGGTCAGCATGCCAGCATTGTGTACAGCCCGGAGGCTATATTAATAGTTACATGTACACAACACCCACATGTTCTGTAGATTCCAAGAGTGCATCTTGCTATAAACACGGGTCGCATTAAGACCTCTAAAATAGTTTAATCCTAAGCTTAATTCAAGGTCAAAATCCACTGACCCTAACCCCGTACATCTTTGGGTGAAAGGCAGATCAGCTGCAGAGAAATATCAAGGAAATATGACTTGTAGAGAACATACGTCGTAGTACTTAGTATCGATCTCTCGCCCAATATCTCCGAGTCTGCCCAACTACCTCCTACCAAATGATAGCCCGTCACTTGGCGTCGGCCAAAAAGGGTACGTTTATAATTATGCTAGCTAGTTGCTACTTTAACACTAGCTAGATTACCCCCAATTTCTTTTCTCTCCAGTCAAGCACATAAAGGCAACCAAGCTTGACTCTATAGTAGCACGTGCTCTTATGGGAGCCTATGATTCGTGGGGGTATTGAATGAGGGGTCGTAGTTGGACCTGTGGGCAGCTAGGCTATTGGCATCATGAACAATCACTCTGATTTAGCAGTTGACTTTTTCAAAGTAGGCTGAGGTTCAGGATAAATTAACAAATAATCCAACAAGTAATAATGTATTTGATCTGCATGTGGTATATTAATAAAATGCAGGATACAAAATTCAAGAGTAGTATGGTGCGTCTGATCGACCTGAAAGTGTATTAATTAATCACAAGTCTATTTGGGACAAAAAGTATGTGCCTACTTTGACTCACCTAGAACAAGTAAATATCTTGATTTAATTGAGCTAAAGTATAATATCCCCCGATTAATTGCAAGTTCAATGTTGAATCCAGAGATTTGACAGGCCGATATAATATAGGTGAGTCCTAATTAAACACTGGCCAACTAAGTACTGTTATTGAGGCTATGTAAATACTACACTCCGAAGCAGCGTGTATATGTTGACCTTAGTTTAAACACCACCTCAATTTCTACTATTCTTTGCTGACACCCCCCAAGCAGTACAACCACAGAATTAAAACCATGCAATATCACTCAGACGGCTTGGCACTTTACTCTACTCTACGTCATGGACTGCACGACCTGGTACGCGCGTGGGAAGGGTAGCTACGGGTAACCTTAGAAGTGCGGATCCGTTCGTGCACATGCGCAGCTGAATTCGATTCCTTTCCTTTATGTAAGGCCCTAGCCCTACCTATGATACATACCGCCTTCCGCCCTGATAGACTCCGATCCCGATATAGCATCCCCACACCAGCTCTACGACACTAATCACTCAACCACAAAAAATTACTACTTAATCTCACAGTTATGGTCACGAACAATTATTATAGAAATACATATCTATTTCTATTGATAATCGATAACATAAGTAGGGATACGTAGCCAATTATGTATGTATATTTATCCAAGGATATACAGTACTGTTCATTACCACACTCTCATCTCTTCACTCATCTCCACGCCCATACTCATACTCATACTCATACTCACAGCCAACCCTATCCGCCTTTTGCCTTTTCTTTCTTTCCATATCATCGCACATCATACATATCATAAACTAACATAATCATAAACCTAGCCTAGATGACACCCCCCAAGGTGGAATAAGCAAAACAAATAAACGACAAAACACCGGTGAAAGCCAAAAAAAAGAAGAAAAGAAAAGATCAAAACGAATACCCCCGTATATCGGGGGCGCCAATTTTCATAAAGGAATCCGACAACACAGCCATCCAGCCCAGTCCAGATCAAGTAACCAAACAGTCTGGAATTTTCAGTCCATCCTTCAAGTTCCGGTTTACATCCATGAGGCCCCATTTGTCCTCCCACTCCTTTCCAGGCTCATTGTACACCACTTTCCAGGGCTCATCAAATGCCGAAAACCTATTTCTCCTGTTAACCCTCATCCTCATCCATCCATTGACATAGAGAAAATAGCACTCACCAGAAATACTCCGTCTTCCTTTTGTTCTCAGTACACAAGAAATCTTCCATAAACAGATTCATCTCGTCGATACCCGCCACACTCCCACGATCTTTACCACCACCACTCGGCCAGCCAACCTCACTGATCATGACCCTCGGTGCGGGCGTAACACCAGCCGTCAAAATCACATCATTCTGCTGGAAGAACGTGTATGTCCAATTCGCCGCTGTCTCTACCGTCACACCCGCGAAGAATGGGTGCACGTTTGCCATCAACACATCGACGTACGGGACCATACTAGATTTCCAGTTCGACCCTAGATCGGAGGTACCTACGGGAAGATCGATGGAGAGAGCAGTAAGGTTGGCGCGCACATCGGCGATGGTTCCGAACAGTTGCGTTTCTGTCAAATCCTCGCGGAACAGGACTTCATTTCCTACAGCGACACCCTCGAAGCGGTCTGCGCTGTAGTTCGCGAGAAGGGTATAGAGATGGTTGAGCTGGCGGGAATTGGTAGTAGTGTTAGAGTCTAGCCAGACACCGAGCCAAATCTTCATGGAGATGCCGAGAACATCGATGGCGTGAAGGACCATCTCGGTTTGGTTGCAGTCAGTTCCGTAGAGACGGAGCTTGTCTGTAAGGAGCGACATGACAGCTACATCGCGTGTGATGTTGTTTTGGGTTGGCGGGTTATCGATACCTGTACAGGTTAGTGGGTACGAGTGATGGGATATGACGGATAACTTACAGGCTGGATACTGCGAGTTCAATGGGGTGTAATCCATTCCATGGAATGCTTTCTTGAGGTTGGGATTATTCATGAGCGCAATGATCTCTTTTGAATCTTTATTGAGGTCGCCGTTTTGTTTGACATCTTCGTCTGCGCTTAACCCACTTCCGCCGTTGGTGCTACCTGCACTACTTGTTGACGCGCTGCTGGAGTTATTGTTCTTATTTCTTAGTATGACACCAGCTGCGGTACCGCCAGCTGCCGCAAGAATGATCACTAATATTACGATCCCCCAGATCCATCGTGTCTTCTTCCGCTGGTGCGCCTGTTTCTGCATCCATTCCGAGGAGGGCGCCTTTTCTGTAGTCGTTGCAGGTTCCATGATCAGCGACTGGAATAAATGCGGGGATGAAAGGAGGGGAGGGTAGTGGGGAGGGCTGATCATATTATATACATACCGCTCATCATAGCTGCACCACCTGCACCACCCAGCAACGCGCCCCCACCTCCACGACTTCTCGGCGGTGTGTTTGCACTTTTTCCAGCACCCAACCCTGCAGCGGCTGCGCCCCCTGTTCCTGCAGCTGCAGCTGCAATATAACCACCATTATTATACGCTGCCTGTTCCTCATCATCGCTAAATACGAAAGTTTCCGCATCCTTCGCTGTGCCATCAATTTGAACCTGACTTGCTGACAGTTGCGGATCCCACGTGGTGCTATATCGCTTGTACGGATTATCAGTATAGTGGCCACCAACAGGGTCGTTAAGGACTGGACGGTCCGGTACTGATCCAGGCCTATATCCTTGGAGCGGGGTGGGTGGTAATGATGCTCTGATTTTTCCATGATGCAGGGGAGGAGGAGGCTGATTGTAGGCCGAGGGCGGGGATGATGGGTTTGTGAACCGATTCCCGGGGATCAGGGGAGTATTAATTTGCGATACGGGGGGCACGGGATATCCCTGCCCATACTGATTATAAGTATCTGGTGACGGAGACGTATAGTACTGGTCGTCCGGCTCCATAAAGTTCGAAGAGCCTCCTCTTCTCCACTGGTCGTCTTCATCTCGATATCCACCTACTGGACATAATTGTTAATAAAGTTTCACGGAAGGTGCAAATAGGCTCGTGTCTGGGTAATGACACTTATGCCTGCACTTAGTCTCGTCTCACCTATGTTTCCACCTCCAACAGCAGCGGCGGCGGCAGCAATTGGTCTACGTGGAGCGTTATTCCCCATCGGTTCTCGTTGGTGGTTCGTAACGTTTGCAGTCCTTGGCGCACGGCTAACAGACGAGTCTGTGAAACTAGAATCTGACGAACTACTACTAGAGGTTGAATCGTGTCTTGCATGCCCGCCCTGGGCGTATTGATTATATCTTGACTGTTGTTGCTGCTGCTGCGGTATTGGTGTGGTATACTGAAGATTATTCAACGGCTGTCGCTGTTCGTCATCGCTGTACCTGGGGGCGCTTTTTTGGTTTAATGGGGTGGGAGGGAGAAGTGGGTGAGTGCGGTCACGATGCTCGGGGACATCGTCTTCGGCCTGGAACGAAAAGCTGCGCTGCATGGTTGTAGTGGAGTATGTATGCGCTTCAAAAGTTTTTTTTTATTTTATCCAATGTAGCCCGGCCACGCAATTTCTTATTGGCGACGTGGACCGTGCAGATAGTGGGGGGAGAGGGAGGGGGACTGAGTGTTTACAGTGGGAGAAACTCCTTGCTTTGTTGTTCTTACTCCTGCTTGCCTACACACTGGGATGGTGGGGAGGTCAGTGGCTATAGATTAAGGTTGTAGCTGGCACGAATAGAGTCAGCAAGTGAGAAAGATATATGGGGGGCTGGTAAGGAATAATAGTCGCATAATTGTATTAGGTAGGGGGGAGGGGGGGCGAGGGGCACTTACTCGGACACTGCAACAGAAACACTGGGCCGCAAGTCGAGTTCGTGTGATCTTGGGATAGAAAGGTAGTCGAAGAGGATGAAAGAAAAGAAAGAAAGAGAGAATAACAATATAGGTCGTGTAAAAGAAAAAGGTAAATACACGGGAGGCCGCCTGCAGGGACAACCACACCCACTAGTTCTGGGCCAGCTCTTTGGCAGGAGGCTGGACGGATGACAGCAGGAGTTTCGCCCAAGAGCTGCTGTGTTGTTGATACCATCACCAAATCTGGGGTGCGCCCGTTGCACAGGACAACCGGTTCCTGATGGGGAAATAGATGCACAATTGGCTATGGTGGGAACTCTCCCTTCTTCTGCATGTCAAGTGTAACTACTCTAAGTCGAAGTAAATTTTATAAGATCATTGGTGTTCCTGAACTAAAAGAAAACGGATTCACACACCAGCTGGAAAGGCATGACATGAAAATCCGTCCAACGCCAGTATCAGCCGAGACGAAAAACACGCCCTACCCAGACAGCTTGAGAGTCCGCATTTCAGGAATATTTTCAGCGAGACCATTTGAGAATGAGAATAGGACAAGTGAAGTTGGTCACGATTGAAGAGAGCTTTGACTTTGAAGGACTCGAAGATATCGATATGGATATCGATACTAATGCTGGATAACATCAATGACGTCGTCAGTTGTAGCGGGTTTCACAAACCCGGCCGCGGCCCACTTTGGACCCCAATCTCTACTGTGCTAGATCAGTACAGTTTTCATCAGAACTGCCTGTACCTGCATTAAGACTTAACGGGAACAAAGAACATCTACCTCTTCTCAGTTCTATTTCTGACCCTTAACTCAACAATACAGCCGTGATTAGTTTAATATCTATACGAGGTCATATATGTATATTAAGAGCACGCGATTCTTACTACTTTTATCATTCCATTCCACTCAAATAGGCACCGCCTGTGCAACCCACCCCCCACCCTTCACCCTGCTGAGAGTGCTCAAAACTCGGCTACCGATATCCGGCATCGTGTGTTGTTGTTTTTGCCTGCCAAATCTGGGGAAATCGCGCTAATGCGACATCACGTGCTTGAGCTAACTTAGACTTACATAAGGTTAAAAATACCAGATCGGCGACATGGACATGGACAGGGAAAACTCTGTCGGATGCTCGGGTAAAGTGGAATATTAACGCTCGTATTCCAAGGCAACTGCCATTGTATGTGAACTCGAAAGTATGGAAATAGGTGGGTTTTACTCGATATTTAGTTATGTATCTCTCACAGAGGAGATTTAATCTTTGTTGTGTACCTACTGTTTCTGTGAAAGAAGCTGTTTGGTCATGAACAGATGTCATCCCTTTGTGGTGTAGTTGGTATCACACCCGGCTGTAATTGCTTGCTTACCGGTTGGTCACCAGTTCGACTCTGGTCGAAGGGACAAACTTTTTTCCAACCTTTGACACTTTCATGTTTCTGTTTGTTTGTTGTTGTTGATGATGTTCTTTTTCAATGGCGTCGGCAATGATTGGTGGGATATCAAGGTGGTTGGTACAGCGAGTGATTGGTTGTGACTGGCAGGCTTGCAACTACCCAGTGCCAACAAATCAAGGGTTGACAGATCAGTGGTTGGCTGGGTAGTGGCATTCAGCCAATGATTGATACACAAGCGGAAGTTGCTTAATCATTGAAAACATTAATAGCGGGTGGGCCTTCAATTGGTTTAACTAGCTTTGTGAAAGTGCATAATTCATTTACGGGCGTGGCTACACACAGTCAAATCAAGTCATCATAACCAACCTCAACCTTCCTCCTATTTCTTGGTATGGAATAGCTATCGCGTGTGGCGTTGAATTGCTTTTATTTGAGCGTCTGGGGGTGGGTGTAGATGGCACGTGCGTGTATACTTCTGGTTATGATAGTTGTTATGGCGGCTTGGCCTTGATAGGTCTTTGGGTTTGAAGGAAATTCTGGTCGGGGCCGCGGGGGGCGCAAAGCGAAGAATACAGTAGATGGAAATAAGAATAAGGAGTTTATGAATGACTGCTGTTTTCCGGTAATTCTCTTTTCCCCCCTTTTGCAGCTCCCACGATGATCTCAAAACCCGAGTGATAATCTGTGATCACAATATTGTTTTTTCATTTTATGAAAAGTCTAACTACAAGTATGTAGTGCCCATTGAACACTTCAATAATCTCAATTTGAGACTCGGATAAACCACAAAGCATACTATAAGTTAATAATAATAAAAAACATCAGAATAACCGTTTCGCAAATTTGACTTTTCAAAATTGCACAAGCCCATCACTCAAATAAAAGCCGAGTGGCTTTCCATCCGCCTTTCCATAAAGACCCTCTCCTCCACAATAGTTTCCTTCGATTTCCCCTTCCAACCCATCCCCTCACCACCAACGACGGGCCCGAATTGCGTATTGACCGCATTCTCAATGTCCACCGTAGACATTTGGGATAATACACTACGCGGCCTATAGACCACAGGTGGTATTCCATGCCCCTGGCTACCAGATCTGAGAAGAGCTTTGGATTTCCTTTTTCTATTCTCATTTTCGTTGTTAAGTTTGCTGCTGGTGTAGTTCTCATTCATACTGATGCTACTAACTGTGTTTCTGGGAGTGTTCCTCGGGGTGTTGTAGTCCCCGTTGCCGGCGAGAGTGCTTCTGTGATTCCAATTAGGGTTATAATCTTTGATCTTGAGACCGCTCCTGATCTTCATTTTTGGCGCAAGAGGAGCGATGGTCACTCCACGGTAAGTGTATTCACTCTGCCCCTGTGTTAACGCCGCCATCTGGGGCGGTGATGTATTCTCATCCGAAAATTTCGGTGTGACAGTAATGTCTGTGTAGGCACTTGATCTGCTATCGGTATCCATAATTCCCGTCGCCTTGCGGTAAGGGCTTGGAGTCGATTCCCTCACGAGTTCATCAACTGAGCTCGAGTACGGAAAAAACGTCGATGCGGACCTGGTTACACGCAGTCTTCTCCTTACTGTGTTCTGAGGGGTAATAGGGATATCCACTGGGGGCCCAGAATCTTTCTCGGACTTGATAGCCAAACCTGAAACTTGCTTGGCCAGCCCTGCAAGATGCGAATCTACGCTCATCTGTCGTAATTCTTCATGTACAGGGTTACTAACAACCCACTCTTTCGTATTACTCTTGCTGCTCTCTCCTTGTTGATAAGACAATGGCCGCGCCGGCACAGGTGGTGGGACCCCTCCTCCGCTGTTCAAGTCGCGCGTCCATTTCCCACTATCCTTTCTAATAGCAGTTACGACAGTATTAGTAGATGCGGCTGTGTAGGGCCTCTCAAACATATTTTCTTCTTCTGGTCTTAAAGCTAACCCAGGTGCCATGTAGTATCCAGGTCCATTATACCCAGGTCCATGAACATACTCGGCTTCCTCCCTTCTTGCACTCGGCGAGCCCCGATCAAGACGTCTCATCAACGCAGAATAAACTCTCTTTGCTTCGTAGCTCTTTCGCACCTGCTGTTCTCCAACCGAAGGTGGAGAATAAATGTTATCCTTAATCTTATTTGGCATGTTTTCGTCTATTATAGAGAGCCGCTTCTTCTTCAATGAAGCCCCTAATGTGGCATTCCATGTAGACTTACCATCTGTAGTCGTAGATGAAATTCTATGCGGTGGCTGTATTTTCATTGGCGGGGTTGCTTCCCCCAAGGACCCAGCGACGGAACGCAACATTTCACATGACGGAACATGTCTGAATGTTGGTGCCCTTGAGATAACAGCTGGGCGGATCGTAAGATTATTCGGCTCAGGGATATCGATAATATCCTCGTGAAGCTCTGAAGGACTGACATAATCTCGAAAGTGCTGCCGAGTCGATGTGACATGTTGCTCGGGGAATGCTGGTTCAAGCTTGACCTTTTTCCCCAATGCTCTACGCATAGTTCCAAAAAAAGAGGCCGAAATTTTCCTCGCTTTTTCACCAACTGCCTTCCGTACTGAAATAGACACCGACTCGTCTGGGTCCTTCTTTTTTCCGCGTACCGTTTCTGGAAACGTACTATGTCTCTTAGACGTAGATAGATAAAAAGATTTACGATCCTTTTGTGTATATTTCTCCTCTTCTAACTGCCTCCTTACTGACTCAGGCATGAAATCTGTCCCTCCTCGTAAGAAAGATGTTGATTTTCTCCTATTCTTGCTCGACATACTATCGGGGGAGCGCTCAGATGAATATACAACGGAAGATGAATACTCATCCTGTGACGAGTCTTTTGAGAACATTTGGCCAACACTAAACATGCTTCGTGTTTTCTGGAGTCTTTTGTATGAGGATGGATTCGATGACTGGTAACTGCCTGGATAATCATCGGTATCCGAAGTTGTGAAATTCATTGAACGGCGGCCACGGGGTGTGGATCGTTGTTCTATGTTTTCATGCAGACCAGATCTTCCCTTTCCTTTGGTATTTCCAGTATCACAAGGTTCAGGAAGATCATAATCAGTAGAGGCATCGCCGTTTTCGCCCTCATTAACGAGCCTGATAGTTTTTCTCTTTGAATTCGAACTTGTAGTAGCTTGAGGATACTTAGTATCTTCAAGGTTTTCGCTACTACTAACGGGAGTCTCAAACCTGACAATCTGGGATCGGCGGCGCTGCAGGTCATCGCCATACGCACGTTTTGCGGCAGCAACAGCTTGTTGGTTCCTTTCTTCAGGTGCCATCATTTCCGATTTTGTCAACGCTGTGGCTGTATGTGAAACGGTCTTTGACCGGTGGATCCGGCCATTACAGCGGATGGTCGCAGTAGCGGGGTTAGGTGATGAGACGGTGTTGCGGCGTTTTAGCATTTTGAGATGATAGGGCCGCTCTCAATTTTTTCTGGATGTTTGCTTATGAGGAGAGGAATGTAGAATAGGTGACGTATACAAAGAAGATGTAGAAGGACTCGAGTCGACACCTATCTAGAGTGGCATGTGCTCTCATCGATATCAGAATCATGAAAGATCACTCACTCACAACATGACACAGTGGATACCTCTCTGTAAGTGATAGAACTCGTTCGATTGCCGAATAGACCCGCTGTTGAGGTTCTATCGAATAGAATGGGGGATCTGTTTGTTTGTTATAGACCCCCCCTTCGGAGTGAGGGATTTATTTGATAGATATACTTCTATCCATTTTTTATCAGTTGAAATAGAGAGGATACCTTGCTAGCGCGAAAAATAGTACTAAAAGATGGCTTAATGGTGCTTGGTTTGTTTATGAACCGATTAGATCTTTAGGAACGTATAGCATTCATATATTTATGGGAACCTGGTCTATTCGAGGGCCATCCTCTATTGCAACAGGGCACTTTCTATCGCTTACGGGGTCTAGTGTCGCGGTAATACAGAATGTTAAATTGCACATTATTTCGAAAAAGTATTTTTGAAATGCGACATTATCACCTAGACATAGATGTACGCCGGTTGAAATCAATCATTGACTCGTTTACATGAAGATCTCGCCGTTTTCAGAGAAAGTAGAATAGAATGGCATTAAGGCAACAAAAAGAAAGGAAAACCCATATCCCGCTTCCAACGTACATCATTAAGAGTAGAAACACAGTGACAGAATGTACTTCATCCCCATCCTCGCAAACCCACTATATACCTCGCTCTAAGCAAGACTTCCCATTGGATCCCAGATCGGCAATACAACTGGATGTTGTTTGAGTACGTCTAGAATCTCCTTACTAACAAATGCAGGGTCCACCACCGCTTGGTAGCAATACTCAGTCATCCAATCATCGCTCATGACCAAGTAGCCCTTCTCGCCAGAATCTGCACCCCAAGAGTTTTCGATACGCCATTTCACGGGCTTGCCGTCGACGATATGCACACCAGTGAGGGTCATGGCATGGGTCATAGAAGACTCGTGGGTGAGGAGGCGTTGGGCTTTGCTCATACCCAACGTGACATTGAATCCAAGCTCGTAATCGAAAAGATTTGTATCCAAAATGCCTTTTTGGGTATCTGCGAATTTTCCAACATCACAACCAAAAAAGACAGGGCGCTGGGACTTGATCATGGCAATACAGGCGGCCTTCATGACATCCATATCAACGTTGACATATGTCACACCTCGAGCGCCAACAATGTTTCCAAGGCGCTCAACGGTCATGAGCCTATTGTAAGGATTTCTGGGGTCGTTGACAAGGGAGAAACGTTCGCCGATACCCTTGTCACTGCTGCTGAGAACTCCACTGACGGTATCCAACATTCCAGAAGCTCCCATAGAGCAGGCACCCATGTTGTCTTTATAGAAGGCGATTGGAGTGGTCGTAAGGGTATTGCACTTCCCGTCCTTTTCATAGTAGGTCCATGTAAACGTATCTTCTGGCTTCGGTGGGGCGCCAAGTGCTAGCACGAGGATCCCGTAGACTTGTTGGACAATCTTAGCTTTATAGGATTGCAGCTCGTCAGACTTTTTAGTGCCAGCGGTCGAGGAGCCGGCGATATCACGGCTGTGCAAACATTAGCCTTGCATCGTACAAAAAAACAAAGTATTTACACTTACAGCACTAATGTTGCCTCACGCAGCTTTGCAGTTATAAGCCAGTTGATACGGGCCGATGCTTTGGCATTGAAAGAATCGGGATACAAAGCTTGAGGGACCAAGCCGTATTTCTCGACCAAGTTGACCACCATGTCCCATTGGCCACCGTCGCCAACAGGGCTCGTCAACAGGTACTGCATGAGTCTGCCATCGAGTGGCTCATCAAGAGTATCAATAACCTCTACATAAACGTTTTAGCTAGTAATAAAGTTAAGGGGGCCCTGAAGGAATATAAACTTACGCTCGAGGAAGAAGTTTGCCTTCTCGAGTTTGTCCCAGAAAAATAGGTAGCTCTGTGAAAGCTCAAAGCTTGAGAGTTTATACTTCTTGATCAATCCAATACGAAAGACATTGGTCGAAGCAAACAACCAGCATCTGCCGGACGAACGTTGATTTGTGACTGGTGTCCCCTCTAACTCAATCTTATCACTGAATATGTGTGTATCGCTTAACAGAACGGATGGATTTTGGAGAATCGATGTGGCTGCATGTGTACTGAGAGCGGCGAGAGCAAGCCGATTCTAGAGAAGCGTAAACGGCATGAGCAATGGTTTTATCACCGGAGAATATTAAGGGATGTTCACCTTGGGGTCTGAAAGGAGTCGCTCCTCCCACTTGACCACACTTTCTATCCGCACTGAAAGCGAAGGCTCCGCATCAACCTCTTGATCGTTTAGTGTGAGGTCACTAAGTCTTGAATGTAGCTTGGGTTTTTCGGGGTTAGGGTAGGTGGCAGAACGCGACTTGGAATTTGAATTGCCCATTTTGTTTCTATGGTGAGGATATGGAGGATATGGAGGATATGGAGAATGAGCAAAATTCGAAGTAGTAGGAGCGGAAGAGTTGTTGTGGACGAACAGGAGGGAAGAGGGGGGAGCACTGCTTATCAACCTCTCAAGTTACCCAGGATCACTTTTTATGCACAACCACTTGTAGGTACGAAAACAGAGCCTGAGATAGCAGTGTGTGAATCCGGTCTAGCTATCTACATATCCGAGGGTGCTACCTAGAGTAGAGTACATGTATGCGGCTGTAGATTGCGGGGATTGCCAGTCATTTTGCGCCCTCCAGGTCCTCTCTGCCCCTGCGGCGCGCGACATCTTTGATGCGTAGCCAACAAGGTGTTGATGGGCCCTGCAGATATCGGTGGAATCGTCCGATAAGGGAAGAGCTAGGACGGAACCCAGCGTGTCACGAGTCCTTGATTGGTGCCAAGAGAAGGGCTACAGCAACACATACAGAGCTTACTCTACGCCCTGCTTTGGGGATTCATGCGATAGAAAGAGATTTTCAGGAGGGATCAAGTCTACCTATTATATAGATTGCTGAGGTATTAATCCAAACTACTGATCTCACTCGCAAAGGTCGCGGTTATTGACGTAGTAGGAGCTCGGTGAATCCTTGTAATCAATGTCGTGATAGTAGCGGAATCTTGCATCAAGCGCATCTCGAAGCACTCGACTGGAACCCGATCTGGCCAAATCTTACATTTTCCAAATGTTAGAAAACAAGTCCCGTGTGAAACCCGATCACTATCAATCTGGGTGCATCTGCAAAAAGGAGCGATGCGCAGTCATACTATCGCCCAATGGGCGAAGGCACACGTACGATCCTGTTGACGAGTATATATTACATGTAATTACATAGTGTTATACCCGCACCTGGGTTCCATATCATGGATTGGCTTTTTAATGTGGGCTTATCGAAGAGTACATGTACTTAACTGGAGGCTTTTCTAGATCTATGGACACGCTTAAAAACTGGATCCTGGGTTTTGCACGACTATGGATAGCAACATACATGTATAGATGAAATGTTTTTAATTAGTGGCACGGCATGTACTATATATGTACGACATAGAACACAAAATGACCTATATATTATGGGGCTCATGTAAGTAACAGATTCATGCGGTACATGTATGTTGTATGTCAACGGTACATAAAATTCGATGATGGGATGGTTGGATCGATGATGCTTAATTAACAACTCGGTCATCAAATTCTGCAGTCGACTGGTAAGATCGAGATGATCATCAAATAAGATTATGTGTTTTAAAAACTTAGACCTATAAAGCTTCACCTCTCAGCCGTACTGACAGCAACCAATGAGATAATGGATTTATGTCAGCCTTTAACGTCAAGAGCACAAAACATCAGTGGGGGGAGGGAATATAAAAGAAGAAAATAATATATATGCGGGGAATCAGATGAGGATTCACGGTGGTCCCAGTGCTAGTTGGGCCTTTAATTACGTCATGTAGTCATGACTCATCACTCGCCAACCCGCTAACAATGAGATAGAGTGAGAAAACGTGATTCCGTCTTTCTATACCTTAAATGTAGCTGGCTGGCCCTTTGATTTGTCGGGATATTCTCAACCTCAACCTCAACTTAGACCTATTTTCCCTATTTCCCATCCAGGTCACCTCTGACTTACCATCCACTATAAGCAAGTATGGGAGAGGAAGCTCGGCCTAAAGTTTGGGGTTTATTCGAGATTGGCACCTTCACTTAACTCCTTTCTACATAACACGCTCCTAGGCGGATATTAATGATACACGCGCATGTGTATAGCAACTATATCGTTGGAGGTATAGATAGATCTAACTCCAATGTTTTTGGAAAAGTCATTTATATGCCAAATGGCTAACTGATTAACACCAGAGTAATCAAGACTACAGCACAGAAGTAGGCCATTATATGGCTATCAAGCCAGCGAGAGCCCTTGGAGGTTAAAATCAAGATGCAAACTGTATGTGTACTTAGCCCAAGAAAATTCGCGTGGTGGTTAGATCTCTCAAGTCTCTTGGAAGCTGCCGTGCACATACCCACATGTATCTAGGCTGTGAAAAGAAATGGCTTGGCAAAATAGCCAACGAGAATGGGATCTCTCATTATCTACGTTGCGTGTATAAAATCAAGAAAATCTCCTGGGCAGTATTTAAGCTTAATAGTAATGCTTATCAGGCCAGAAAAGTGGACAGCTGCGGGATCTTCGGATAACGGTGCTGTTTCTTCTTTGCGCCATCGGTTTCTGTCTGGGTTGTTGAAACGGGGTTCGGACACCAGGTGAAACGTCGCGTATGAGCACATGCACATTACCCGATGTCCAACTGGGCTGAATCCATCATCGGCGCTTCCAGTCACCAGGACTTCCTCGGCTCGAGGTGCTTGCGCGATGAATCTTCAAAAATCGAGGCACTAACTACAGTACAGAGTCTACATTTTTATCTTCGTTGCGACTGTGAGGATTTGGTTTCACGCATGGACTACGTGTCTTACATATTTTTCGGAGTGTTCTGGTATCTTAGCGGCCGGGCAAATAATCCCATCCTTTACACTCTAGATCACCTCCTGACGTTGAAGAATAGCGGTTACACATCTTATATTGGGTTTGCGAACTTCATTCTCCATAGACACTGTCTCACATATACAGCATCACTCCTGATCTACTCCCACGTACCAAGTTCTCCTCTTTCTCGTTTTGCAAGGTGCACCGATGTCGTACAGTTATACTTTGACGTTTCCATCTGTCATTCCGATACATCTCCAATAGACCCCAAAGATGGGTTCAAATGGTAGGTGGCCCATGCCGCACTTCTTTCCCTTCCTCTCTCTCTTTCTTTCCCCGTTCACGCGTTCCAACGGTGGCAGGCAAGTCATACTACGATTTCCCTTTTTACCTTGCGCAGGCTAGTTCTCTGCTGCACCCATACATTCTACGTTTTAATTTGTAACTTTAGGTCTTTCATTTGGTAAGTAGCTACACTTTTTTTATTTTTAACCATCCGTTTTTGTTTTCCTCTTCTCTTTGGCAGAAGGCTCCACTGCAAATAGACACTACACAATACGGGTCCAACGCGCCGTAGTTAAGTGGATTGAGTACATCAGTTGGATCAAGGGACCGCCTTGCAGTTGAGTTTGTTACCTGTTACCGCTTTCGTCAAGTTGGCCAATGATTTTTGCTTACTCGGGGTAGAAAAAAAGCCCTGGGCGCTTATCGTTATTCATGAGCTTACCACTCTAGGTTCATTGCTAGTAAGGACAGTAAGTGCAATAATTATCAGTGCCCCGTTCTTATCTCGTTCTTTCTTTCCTTCATTCTTCCTTTCGACTTCCATTCTTTTTTCTGATTTTTCTTTCCTTGACGTCGTTGCTAGAGTCAACACATACGACCAATAATTACGACTGGTTCGATTAGTTTACACTACATTCTTCCGAGAAGAAGGTTTTTTAATAATTGTGAATATTGACAATAAGGAGGGTCCGCTCATTTAATATACCTTAAGCTGACTACAAGTGACTGAAATCCAGTAACTTATCGGAGAAAACACGATAACAACAAATAAGCACCATGGAGGCTGCGGGCGTATTATCAACCACTTTTGGACTGTAACTGATCCACTTGATATACGTCCACAATGATTCTGGTACTTAAAGATGCTGACGAAGAATAATTATAGAGGGTTTCTCTTACATGCTTCTCAAGCCGCCTTCTTTACAGCCATCAATGGCCATATAAAGACACTGTTTTTCCACCGCCGAAGGCTGGTCCTTCTTTCATTCCTTTTATGCGTTTCAATATACTCTGTGTTTCAGTTTGCTACTCTGCTACTTCTTGAAGATGTATCCTGCAGCGTTATAGTCCGATTTACACTCTTTTTTGATCAAGCCGCTCGGATATCCGTACTTGCACTTATTGTTTGGAAGGTGTGTGACGAGACGGACAACACAACTGAAAAAATATGCTGGGTAGTGGTCCTTGGGCTACGGGTACTATTGGGTGGAATAATTGTTGGTTTTACGGGATGGACATTTATGCCCGTCTGCTTTCCACAGCCGATGCACTTGGCAACAGGAATTGTCAATGTGGCCTTTGATGGACTATCTTGGGGTTTTTTACTTTTTAGAATCGTTACGATTTGGTCACTTTTCGCAGATCAAGGGAGGGGTGGGAAGGTGGACGGGAAGAGTCAGGGCTATGGGCTCTTCTTGATCGTATTGAGTTTTATTGGGTGGACAGTTGTAAGTCCAGGGTTGTTGGGAAGGTGCTATTTTAAAAAGAAGCCGAGCTAATTGAGTTCAACAATGTTAGGGAAGTTTTCCATATTTGATGAATGTGGGAGAGAGTATTTTCGTTAGGATGATCCCCTATATCATAACTCTCTCCTTAGCTCTTGGTAAGAATATAATCTATATTCTAGGCGTATAGATAAAGAGGATAAAATTAACCTCGAACCTATCATATAGGTGTCCTTGGGTGCTTCCCTTCTATTGTATTCTCTGTCCCCATCTCTAGATCTAACGAATCATATAATCGGAAACTCGGTCGATTTGGCTCTTCGCCGCCCAGCATTTCAAGAGCAGGGCAGTCTATTATCTCACCCAACTCCAACCCTGGAGATATTGAGTCCAACAAAATCAATAGATTCCCGTCTCATGGAGTGGATATCGATAAAAACTTTAACGACGCGCGAACAAGTATGATGTTCCGATCTATCATCGGCGCGCCGATAGTTCACCCTGGTACTGCCATTCCATGGTCACTAGAAACAAATAACGCGGAGAGCATTACAAGGCCTAAACCTACAAAGGCTATGCCAGAAAACAGAAGACCTAGTATTGCGCCATCGCATGGTGCAAAACATAGTGTATCAAATCCAATGGGCTCAAGAGTGACAAACAGTTCTTTTGACGCTGTAGAGCAAATATCTGGGATTCCAACAAGTAATTCTTTTGGAAAGATGAGGACAGTAAGTCTGAAGACAGCAGCAGAGGCGGAACGACAACGTATCGATGCCGCGTTTGAGAGAGAGCAGGAACGAAAAAACTCCGATGCTGGGACAGTCACCACATCAAAATCGGTAGCAGACTGTCTAAACACTGATCGTTCAACAAGCGTCAAGAGAAAACCCTTGTTACCGCAGCTTCCGTCAGGAGCCGCTGCGCTTAGGGTATCTGCTGTCAAAAGGGAGGGAAATGGGCCAGCAAGCTCATCCAGTATACGACAGTCTGAATTCGCAGCAGCAGAAGGGGGGTCGGACTGGGGAACGAGATATAGTGTGGGTAGCCTTGGGACTGAGGATGATGATACCACGCGATATACGGCAGTTTCTCATGCGCCTTATACTCTAGCTGCACCCCCAAGAATTCCAAAGATCGATTTATTGGAAGATGATTCAAGGGTCATGTTTCTCAATGAAATAGTGTATGATGACCCAGCGTTGGTAAAGTCAATAATGGGGAAGACGGATATTGCTTCAACAACCTCCAGATACTCGGGATCTAAAACAGGAGCAGTCAGGAGGAGTCCTTCATCTATTACCAAACGTCTTCCAGGTCTCTCGCCGGCTAAGAACTCGAATGATTCTGTCGTCTCCTCACCGCCATTCATGGATGCGTCGCCGGTTATGGATAGACCTAGGAGCGTGAAGAATATTGCGGAGAGGGGGATTTTCCCTCCGAATAGGGACTCTGACCTGGCGGCACAAATGCAATACAACAAAAAGCAGTCAAACATGCGGAGGGAATCGGAACTTCCACAAGTTGATTCAAAGCCATTACCTGAAGTTCCAGCCCAAAGGATGGGTACAGAAAAGAAGCGGACAAGAGAAATTGTGTTTCCTATCCCTCCTCCTAGAGCCACTACCAGGAAAGGCGCCCCGCCGCCTATTACCGTCACCATTCCGAAGATTTTATCCCCAGAAATAATCCAAGAGATCACAGCTGCCAGTGAAGTTGAAACCGCTCAGTCAATTCCCAGCCCCAAACCAACAATTCCCGAAAAGTCAGAGAAGCGTTTGATGAGCCCAGCTATCAATGATCAAAGAGCTGGTTTTGCTACTTATGAGACCGCGAAAGCGTGGGCTGAAAGCGTATCTGCTGCCAGTGATAAGCCCAGATATGCTGAAAGTATGATTGAACCTCTCCCATCAATTGCATACGACATGTCAGACGACATAACCCCTAGAATAGCCGCTGCTATCTCGGACGGTAATCATAAGCGCAAGAGTTTGATCGCCTTGACAGTGTCCCCCCTCTTTCAAATAGAGGACAATGCGTTCACAGACATCGAAATCGACTCTGGCTCCGAGGATGGAGGTGATCAAGACCCAGAAGCGGCTACTGTGGAATCTGTATCAGATGAACAGACTCAAAGTGAGGCGGATGAAATGATCGCGAACGGAGGAGAGGGATATTCCACAGAGGACGAGTCATATGAAGATTTCTTCACTGATAGCGAAGAAGGTCGCTACCTCGATGATGAGGTTTTGATCTCGGACATGGAGGAAGGAATAAGCTATGACAAGATCGCCGCCGCTGAACGAAAGCTTGATGCTAAGGTTCAAGAAAACACCGAAGTTTTAACAAACGCCACTCCAATCCCCATTCATTTTCATCTTGGAGACAGTATCCCTACATTCTCGGAGAGCAGGCGGAAATACGGGACCAAGAGGAAGCCACCACCATCTCCAATAGGGTTCTTGGTACAGCAGAAACGTATCTCTCAACAGCAGTTGATGGAGGCACGGCTAACAATTTTCGCTGGAACTCAATATCTCGCTCCTCTTGAAGATCTTATGAATAGGCTTCCAGTAAACAAGAAGGGTGAATCCCGTGTGAGTTACGTATCTGACGGTAGAAACTCTCTGTTAGCTCGGCTGGAGATGGAAATGGGACAGCAGGAAAATGAATGGATGGGAATGCATAAGACACTGGAAAGAAGCTCAATGGGATCAATCAAGGAAACCCCAGAGCAGAGAGCTTCCCGGTTATCCCGCGACACTTTAGAGTGCCACTCATCCTTGGAAAAGGTTGATGAGGGTATTTTGATTAATAGACAGTTGAGTACTGTTGACACAGAGTCTGTTCACTCAGATGCTAAGCCGAGTGCGTGGCATGCTCAGATGAGTTACCTTGTTCAAGCACCATTGATGAATCCTGGTGAGATTCTGGCCAGACCGACTTCTATCCTCGAAAGTCAAAATACACCAATCTCGATAGTTTCAGACTCCGAGGCGTATGATTCTAGGGATGAGTCACCGTATGGTACAAATCACAACGAGGTCCACATGGAATCGTGCTATGGAAACGATAATTTAAACTTTATCATTGAAGAAAACGAGGGACTCGAGCACTATGCAGAATACCAAGAGTCATTCGAGGACGACAGTGAGATTCAGTTTCTTGAACCTACAGTGTATTGCCCGAGTACACGCTCTACCAGCATAATTTCTCATCCCAACTTTATATACTCCGTTACTTCGGAGTCATTCTCTCGAAGCGCAAGGTCACCTCCAATTTCATTTCTTTGGAACACCCGTCTCATCCAAGGAAGCTCCTCTCCCATGAGTAACCAGTTATGGTCATACCCTGTATTCCTGCCGAGGACCCCATTAGCACTCCCTGCTGCATTAGACCTTCGCCCAAAACGTCGTATCTCAGCTGCACCCATCACTAAAGCTACCACAAGCCTCTGGGTAAAGGCCCATGGCCCTCAAATCGAACCCAGTACAGGTTTGTGGAGAAACCCGAGGGAACAACAGCCGAAAAGCATCATCGCCTCTTCATTCGGGCACGGTAGAAGCCGCTCACTCAAGCTTAAAAGAGTTACATTTGTGGAGGAAGTAGTGACAGGTATTAACTCATCTTAACCTCTATTAATATCCTCATCTAATCAAGTGTGTAGTCGAGACAACTGGTTTATTCGGAAAACTTAAGAAACTTTGGGGGGGTCATACAAAGTCTCATTCAGTTGACAGTACCGCTGTTCCAAGAGATTTGAGGGATGTAGACACGGCTATAGACTCTGTTATTGTGAGATATGCAAACAAGACGCTCCCGCCTCTTCCGCCTCTTCCTCCAAGGACAGATATTATGAAGCACAAAGAGCCCGAGAATACGACCTGCAACAACCTCTGGTTACATCAACCCAGTCCTCCAGCCATTACTCAACCATCGTTACTGTGGAATCAAACACATGCACAAAAAGTCCAGAATACTCAATTATTCAAAGAGATCCCTTCGCTCCGTAGAAAGGCTCCTCAACAAACATTCTTGCCAAGGCTTACTTCGAACAGACTATGGGGATATGTTGAACAGCGGATGATGCCATCACTTTGGTTAACAAGCTCCGCTAGCGCCATGTATCTCTGGCCCTACGGAGAAGGAACAATAGCTCGTAGTTATCTCTGGCCTTCTGCCCCGGCCGCCAAGAAAATCGAGGTTGTTACAATCAGATCTCGATCACTCGCGATCACTCGCCTCACTCGCCTCACGCGCCTCCAGTCATCTTCGCTCTGGGTAGCTACTGCTGCTTGCAAGAATGGCGGAAACAAAGTTACTGCACTTTGGGAGCCTGCTGAATCTGGAGTAAACGTTGTAGGATCCCAGAAACAAGAGCCTATGCTTTGGATTAAGGGAGAGCATATTGCGCCCGCTGCTTCTAGACATTTATGGCCCAATGCGCCTGAACTTCCTATGTTACCGTCATCGTTGCCAGCTATCCGAGCTCGCGTTGCTTCGACTGAACTCCCGATGCTCGAATCCAACCAACTATGGACCTTTGCCAAAGAAGCGATCGGGCTGTGGTCATTCCCAGAAAGATCGACCGGGCTCTGGCCTCACGGAGGGCGTGAGAAAGTTGTTTCTTTCCTTTGGCCTTCCGCGTCGGCACTAAATTATATTCCTGCGAAAGTTGCCTCGAAACGTTCACGGGTTATGAGAGCTGAACTTGAGAAACTTGAGTCGAAGCAATTATGGTCCTATAGTGACGTCCAATTTGAGTCTGTTGAGGTAAAGGGAATGTGGAAAGCAGCAACTGTTTCGGCCAAGCCAACTATCGTCGAGCAGAATATGGAAACGCTCACAAGTCTACTTTGGACTGCACCTGAAGAAGCTCCGTATGTAGTTACTCCTAGCTATCTTTGGCCATTAGCTCATCCCCTCCCCTCCCCCCTCCCCCTCCCACGCGTTTCGCCTACAAAGAAGTCTCGTAACCCAGCCAAAAGCACAATTGTATCACTCTCCGGAGGGCTTTGGAGCTCAGCACCAGTATTACTTCCACGCCTCTGGTCCGCTCCAGTAACTGAGTCTGGGCTCTGGCCACACGGAAGGCTTCAACATGCACAAACGAGGACTCTGTGGCCGTCTGCACGCCCACTTGCGAGCACAGAGAACCAGAGTCTCCACAACGCCCGTATAATTGTTACCGGCCTGAAAATAGAATCGTCGCGACTCTGGAGCGCAGAATCAGCGATAAAAGCGGAATTATGGGCCCCACCACCTAAGCAAACAGGATTATGGCCCAACGGGCAGGTGGTTAAGAGCAAGTCTGTTGGGTTATGGCCTTCTGACACTGAATTAAGGTTCCCAGCAATTGTGTCGATTCGCCAGTTCAAACAACGCAGCCCCACCAATCTAGAAACTTTGGAATCTCATGAACTTTGGAGTAATTTCAATGTCAAGCAATCACTCTGGAAAAAAGCAAATGGACAAAGTGGTCTGTGGCCCCAGGGCACACACAATTCTGGAAAGCGCCAGCTTTGGAGCGCCAATAGTAATATGCAAACTGTCCTAAGAAGAAATCTCACATTGAAATTAGCAACAATCGAGGGAAGGAAAAGATATGAGAGAAAAGCAATAACAGCCATATTAGAATCCCGCGCCCTGTGGAGTCGGCCGGTACATATCCGACCAAAATCTGCTGGCCGGCTTTGGACAAAAGAGATTGAATATATCGGCGAATTGCCCAAATTCAAGACTGCTGAGCTGCAGGCGAAAGACGATGTCGCTTCAGTATCACCCGGTTTATGGGCCAATCCATCTCCTATTTCCTCTCCATCTCCTGCAAATTTAATGACGCCTGTTGCCGTACTTTGGACGGCATCCCCCCTCAAAACACCCAGGATAGAATTCACAATCTGCCGGGAAACCATCGCAGTCGCAGCAGTTCAACGAAGGAAGTCGGCTGGAGCTGCCAATTTGATGCTGACACCTCTGCAAGGCAATCTCTGGGTCGCAGGGACTCCGTCGCTTTTACCCGGAGGATCAACACCTCGCACCGGGATGAAGCAAGCTCCTCAGGATGGTCTGTGGAACTCGGCCAGAACGCATGCCAAGCTGGAGAAAAAAGTTCCTTTATGGCATAGGTACACTGTCATTGGCAAGGATCGAGGTGCAGTGAAGCAGCAAACATTGAAAACAGACACCACTGGATCGTTCGTCGCCGTGAAACCCGATCAACTAAGGACCCTTATCGCTGCCGAAACAGAAGAGGATGGTGTCAATCATGTCCATCATGACGGGCTGTGGCATCCAGCCATCATGACAAAGCCGGCAAAAGAGAGGCCGCTCACGACAGGCGTAGACACGGTTCCTCGGGAAAGGACATTTGTTACTCCGAGGACTTGCGCTCTCTGGCAAAAGAACAAAAGTGACAAACCCCTAGCACCGATATTTCCGGCATCAGTAATGATAATCCCTGCAGTTCCATCGCGATCGAATAAGCGAGTAGCATCGAATATTCCTCCCCCGCTTTTCTTGGCGCGTGTAGGTGGCCCAATGTGGACGGCTGATAAAACGAGTGAATCCCGTCCGCGTGGACTATGGCGTCAAACGAAAAACGAGCGCATGAAGAAGGGTCTTTGGCAGCCCAACAACATTGATAAGTACAGCACCCTAACCGTAATCAACCAAGCTACCTCGCCGGAGAAAAAATCGAATCTTTGGAGTTTTTCCGGGACAAAACCAGAGCGACAATCAATCTTTCAAAACCTGTCAGTTGAGTCCATTCGCAGGTCTACCTCTACAACCACCAGGAACCACAATTCTATCACAAATCCCATGGAGGGATCACTTTGGGTGAAATCACGCAACACTACTCCAGAAAAACCAAAGCTATGGCGCAAAGCAGAAATCCCACAGAGGCTGTGGGCGGCCGATAATAATTTTAATAGTAGCAACACTGATATGACTATCACCACCAAGGCGGTTCCTACTGTCGCAACTACGCATTTGTGGGGAAAGGACAATGTCACCACCACGCCCATTTTCGGCGACCTTTCGCTTGAGTCTTCCCGGTCTCGCAGAGAGTTCACCCCCAAAGCGTTCTCGGCCCCGCCTGAAGGATTGTGGAAAATGGCACTAACAAGCGAACCGTTGGAGATGACTGCTGAAGTGCCGAGGATTAGTCTTTGGGGAGCAGCAGACGCTGCCCCAATTGTTGTCAAGAATGTCCCTACTAAGACACTTTGGCAGAAGGACAACACAGAAACTCCAATTTTCGCTGACCTACCCCTTGAATCTTTCCGCTCAAAGAAGGATCACTCTACGGCAACGCTTCCTATGTTCTCAGAGGGCATGTGGAAGAAAAAGGTCGCACTCCCGGAACGCCCTCAGTTGTGGAAACCAATTCCCAAGGCAACAGGTTTATGGGACGCAAATGCAAAGACGAAAACGTTGGCCCAGATATCCTTGGAGAGGAAAGCAAAGGGAACGAAGAAGCCATTGTGGTCAAAGGAGAGGGCTTCAAGGACCACTGCAAAAGTTCCTCAACGATCACCGCTCGCCATTGTTCGTATCTCGGATGACCTAACTCTACCTAAAGCTACTGGTGATCTTTGGAAGCCAAAGTCTCCCGTGCGTCAGGCACCAGTGCTTTGGACAGCGCCGAAACCCGTTACACAGTCCGCGAAGCCCGCAAAGCCCGCAAAGCCAACCGCAACACTTCTCTGGGGTCAAGGGTCTGGGTCAAAGACAACAGCTGCAGTTGCAGAGCGAACAAAGGTCCCCTTCATCCCCTCTGATGCTCCACTTGCTCAGGTTTCTGGCTCGCTGTGGAAACCAAAGTCGACAGATGGACCGATTGGTCTCTGGAAGCGCCCCATCAAAGCGGTAGCGGCAACCACAGTTGCTCCATCTGTACCTCTATGGGCAGCAAGGACAGCCTCCAGGACCACCAGTGCCGTGCCTCAACGTTTGCCTGTCCTGAAAAAGAAAGATACAAGGAGTATCATTCTTCCCCCGGCAACAGGCTCGCTCTGGCAGCCGCCTAAGCGCACTCCCGAGAAGGGGCTTTGGAAAGCCCCAGCCCCACCAACCCGCCGACCCCGTAGCGCAAGTCTTCTCTGGGCATCCCACTCAGCAGCGCGCACAACTACTGCAATTCCGGTTCGGACTACAGTGCCAAAACGTCTCGTTGAGGAGCCCCTCAAAACTGTCAGCGGTACCCTGTGGAAGGCGCCATCAAATGAACCTAAGAAGGGTCTCTGGAAACGCACCATCCCAACAGTTGCGACATACCGCAAGACAAGTACAACTTCCCTATGGTCAAAAGAGTCCGCTTCTCGAACAACATCTGCAAAGCCAGAACGTGCTCCCTTCGTTCCGAAGGTTATTGACGAAAAGTCTCTTACACTCTCACCTGCCACTGGAGATCTCTGGATGCCCTCGTCGGCAACACCACAAACAGTTAGCCTCTGGTCCCGTCCAGCCACTCCCTCCAGTGGTAGCGGCATCTGGGATGCTCAAGGTCGTACGCCAACCCTGGCCGAAATTAAGCTTGCGCTTGCAACACAGCGAGACAAAACAGAACTGTGGCAGCGTCGCAGCGTCTTGACTTCAAAGCCCGCTATAGTTGATATCAGCAAAATCACTTCCTCTTCCACCGCCCCACAAAAGAAGGTCAAAACCACCGAACCAGCCCCCGTACCTCAGGTGGATGGTAGTCTCTGGAGACCCTGTGTGGATGGAAAGAATGAACAGGGTATCATGTGGATTACGCGCTCTTCTCGTTCCTCTTCCCTGGAATCTGAGTTTATTTCTCCGGGCGTGAGCCGTGCTTCAACAATCAGCGACATGAGCGACGAGACCGAGTCCCCGCTGACGACAGGTAAGGCGGATGCGTTTGAGCCAGAGGTCATGAGGATTCATAGCACAAAGGTTAGCGTCTCTTCTGCGGCTGGGGAGAATATGTGGAGGCCTATTGAGGCGGCGGAGGGAAAGGGAAAGGGGGTCTCTAGGTCAGATCAGAAGGAGCAAGAGCTTCCTACGTGGGGAGCTTCACACTCGCTTTGGAGCAAACCGTCCACTGATGAAGAAAAGGTAAGAAATCCTCCTTTGTAGTTTGATAAAAGCGGGATGGCTGACTGGATTATTAGGCGGCGTTATGGGAAAACCCCAACTCATACGCATGCTCCTCAGTCTCCGACGAAGACTTCGCATCGGCTGCCTCCGAGCTCAGTGAAGAATCCCACTATCACGATTTCGAAACAAGCCACGAGCCCGACAGTTACTCAAACAACATGTATCCCCCCTCTTCGTCTAACCCCCACGTGTTCGTTGGACAGTTCCATCGTGACAATTATCTTCTTCGTAAGAGCCCCCCCACCCACAATTAGTCATACTTGCATACTTGACAGCAGGCTGACAATCATTCCCAAATAGATCAACAATCAAACACTCAGCTCCCGGAAAACTCTCCATTTGCGTCCAACCTCCGCATCAAGAGTCTTCGTCGGAAGCTAAGGCCTACCAACGGCGCCCCCGGCACCGCTGAAAGGAAGCGCCGCAACACCGAGGGAGAGGAAGAGAGAGAGCGGCTCAGGGTCAATAGTACTCCAATGGAAAGGGCGGTTTCCATGGGCGAGGAACATCTATAGGGAAATTAATCTAGTTTTTTTTTTTTCTCACTAAAAAATATACCAATGTATTTTTCTTGTTATCTTTTTGTTAGTTAGCATGGGATCTACGGAACGGCGGGTTTTACGGAACGGGATGGTTGGCTTTTCAACGGCGCTGGGATGTTTTCTTTTGTGCATGCAGTTGTTTCACTAACTTGTAATCTTTTTTTTTGTTTTCAGGGCTGGGTTAGTAGCTATGAGTTTATGTATATGGATTGCTGCGGATACCAGGGCATCACCGCTCGTTACGGGCTTTCTTTTGTGGATTATTTTTTTACGACCTGTTCTAGGAGTTTTATTTGTATGGTTAAATCTCCGAGATAAAGGTTGTTGCTCCAGTCATTAAGCATATCGCTCACCTAATCTCGGTTCCAAGCTTTCAACTTTGATCTTTGATATCAATGCCCCTAGTTTACGGATTAACCTCTTTCAATATGATCTCCACCTCGCCACTGATGTTTAGACATACCTCACTGTAGTTGGCGAGTAAAACTCAACCTGGCCGGCTTTATGTGTGCGTAGAGAGGATACCCATTAACAGCCCAAAACACAAGAAATGATATAATCACCGACAATCACTCAAGCCCGCACCCACATGCACACCCTATCTAAAGAGCGATACTATTCATACCCTTGACGACATCCTCTACATCTACTTCCACCACCCCACTCACCTTCTTTTTCATATTCCTCCTATTCTTCTTTCTAGCGGTGCCTTCTAGTGCTACCTGCTCTTCTTCCTTTCCCGCCTCCCCCACCGCCTGCACCAGCGGCTTCCCACGCCGCACATACAGCGCCGTATGGTTAAACGCCCGCCCACCACCAATATCCTCGCTCCCATCCACGCCCGTCAAAACAACCGCATCACACTCCCGCAGGCACTCCACAAACTCCGGATACGCCGCCGCTGCCGCGTTCGTCTTCCTATCATCATCTCATCAGCACACACCCACCCCCAACCGGCAAGGCAGAAAAGGGTAAAAAAAAAACTCACAAATCCATAAACGCCGCCACATCGTTCGCCAGCACCACCCCGGGCCTTGCGCGCAACGCGCCCTGCAACACCTCATACTCCAAATGCGGCGCAAACAGCATCGCCTCCGCGCCAATTCTTGCCTGTGCCTCGGGGTCCACGAGCACCGTGGCGCCGAGCTCCTCGGTCAGGAAGCGTGTATCTGCGGCGCTGAACGCGGGGTCCTGGAGGTAGAGTTTTGCGGCGAGGAGCGTTGAGAGTGCTAGTGCCAGAGAGAGCTGCAGGAAGCTGCTGGTGTGGGTGGGGCCGTGGAGGCTCCCGAGGCCGAGGACGACGACGGTGGTGATGCGTGGTGTACGTGTGGAGGTGGTTGTGAGCGCTGCTGTGAGTGTTTGCAGGAGCGGGGAGGAGTGTAGGTCGGTGCTGGCTGCGGCGAGATTTTTGGTCGCGGTGGGGTGCCAGGTGGTGTATTCGGGGGTGGGGGTGTCGGAGAGGGTGTTGTGAGGTTTTGTGAGCTCTGAGGGCTTCCGGAGGGGGGCGCGCCCTTTGCCTATGATGTTGGACCAGCCATCGGCGCTGGGGGCGATTCTGTTATGGCGCCGGGACACTGAGGGGTGTTAGTTTTTGAAGACTGGATTTTGGGGTGGGCATGTGTAACGTACTGGTGATATTGGGACCCGAGTGAAGCTCTCCGTGGGCTGGGAGATGGGATTTTTCGGGAAGGGCCCTTGCTTACTGGTTACCCGGCAATTTCTGGACTGTGCAGGGTCCATCCAGGGAGAAGAAGCTTAACTCGACCTCTCCCCATGAAAGCAGTATGCATGCGGAAGGTAAACATCCATTTGCAGCATTTGTGACTCGTGGTGTCAATGATCGCTTAGCAGGTATTTTTTTACTATGTCACAAAAACCCACAAAAAACGAAAAGGGACAGTTTTCTTTACATCTAATATTGTTTATAATGAACTTCTAAGGAAGCTAAGAATTTTCTTCTGGCTCTGCGAAGTTTATAAACCGTTGCATTTTATAAAAAACCACCCAAACTCCTCTAAACACCACGTTCCCCTGGAGATACACCCAGGCCTAGCTAGCCCCGGGGCCTGAAGGAGGCTGATCTTCAGGCATCAAAAGATTGCCATATGTGCTTTGAAAAGCACCCATCCTATCACCTCCCACCAATATAACCCTCTGCCAAGTAAACCATGCCGTGTCATGCAACATGTCTCCGCAATGTAATACAGCGTCGTAATTGTATACCTCCCCCATACGTACTTGCCCATTAGGTTTGATATTTATTCGATAAAAGTTCAGATCTTGTACGGTTCGCTTTTGAGCTGTGATATTAAACCCACTCTTCGCATAGTAATCTTCGAAAAGAGTAGAGAGTCTCATTTCTCCAGGCGCTGCGATGGTTAGTCTTTCCCACGCCCCACCGATCATCGGTGGATCAAAGGGATCGCCTAGCCAAAAGTCAAACATGGTCACAACACTGTTACTTGGCAACTCGACATAATTATTCATCTGGGGCAGATTATACATGGGAGGATGTATTATTGGGGGGAGATTTTCCTGTCGGGTATGATTCTTGCCAACTTCAGGTAGCATTGGAAATTGTATATTCGCTTGCTGTGGGGTAAAAAACGTCGGAGGTGGTGGTGGTGGTGGCGCTATTGATGGTGGTATCTGTGCCTGTGAACCTACACGGGGTCCAATATGTTGTCTATTTATCATAGCTAACTGGGCTTGACGTGGATCACCCCATCCTTGTGGAGTCTGTGGAGGATATGGCATCTGCTGAGGATACTGAGGATTGGGGACCTGGGGACTGAAAGCCTGAGGATTGGGAACTTGAGGATACGGAGGATACGGAGGATATTGAGTAGGTGAGGGCTGGTGATACTGAGTATACGGAGGAAACTGAGGAGGAGGTGGGGGCTGATGATACGGAGGGCGTGGATTCTGTAAATGTCTTGCGGGCTGGAAAGGCTGTGGGGGACCATATTGGGTGCGCTTCGGAGGGCCACGAAGTTTGTTGTACATCGCTCCTAGTCCCGCTTGTACCTTGGATGACGGTTTAAATTCGACGGGCTCCTTGTGTATAACCAGTTTTGTCCCCTGGGGCTCCTTTTTCACCGGCAAAGTTGGTAGATATCTAGCCTTGTTCGCATCAATCTGAGCCCGACATGTTCCAGAAATCTGTGCAAGCTCCTCTTCAATATCGTCCCAGTCATGAAACGCCCAGAATTCCTCACGATATGTAACAGCGGAGTCATCTGTTTCGGGGTTCTCTATACCATCCATGGGACTCTCAACTGGTATAGGTTCCGTAGCTGCCGTTACTTCTATTGTTTCTACTTTTGGAATCTCCGCCTTGGGGGCCTTTGCTTCTTGAATAGGGAGTCCTACTTTGTTGGTCTCTGTTTCTAGAGTAGGAAGCTCTACCTTAGTGGTCTCTGTCTCTAGAGCTGCAAGCTCTACTTCGGTGGCCTCTGTTCCTTCAGTGGCATCTGTTGCTTCAGTCTCATCTCCTGAAGACTCCGTTCTTGGAGTAATTACTTTCGAAGTCTCTTCTTCCAGAGCAGCTGTTTCCTGAGTAACTACCGTCAGAATAGCTGCCTCGGAGCTCACTGGCTGTGGAGCGACTGCGGGCGGAGTGGCTACGCGCGGAGTAGCTACACGTGGAGTAGCTACACGTGGAGTAGCTACACGTGGAGTGGCTACGTATATGTGTGGTGTGGCTACACGAGTAGTAGCTACACCTGGAGCAGCTACACTTGGAACCACTGGAATTGGAGCCATCCCCGCCATATTTGCTCCTGTCACTGTCGCTACCGGTACCGCTGCACGCCTCCTCCTCCTTGACGAGTCCTGCCTGCTACCAAAGTATCTATAGGTAAAGTTGTTGTGAAATTGTCCCCGTATCGGCGCAGGATCATTCCCCGGGGTAGAGAATCCGCGGGGCCGGTGGTATTGCCTGGGTGGCATGAGTCTGGCTTTGTGAAGGTATCGGGGTTGGGGAAAGAGATGGAGTGCGCTCTATTTATTTCTGGAGAAGATACATGTATATATGGTTTCATTGGTTGGTGTACGTGGTTGAAATAGATGCGTAGAAATGTGTTCTGTTGGGTGTTGTGGAAATGTGGTTGTTTCCCGTACTGATTTATCGAGCGTCGAGAAAAGATGACCATTCAATCATGGTGTTTATTAAGACAATACAAACCCTAATCCTGGAATCGAACAAGTGACTTTTTATGACACAAACCCCTGCTAGGTCCGTCTAGTACACACACTTCCTAATCTACTCCGTCAACGCAAAATTACACGTAGCTTTACCCCCCAAACATCTCGGATGATGCATTCCAATCATTTCTAGTTAGTTCCTCGGTAGGGTTTTACCTAAGAGTATTCGGTCGCTTTCGGTGATCTACGTGCATCAAGCTTCAAAAATGATGGAACTTACCTGGTTAAGGCAGAAACACTTAGAAGCTCCTGCCAATACTCACTATATAACAGGTCGCCACTATAATGACCATGATCTATCCTCTACTATAACCAGGGGCCTTCGATCGCAAATATAATGCATTCTACATTGATCCCACGGTCCTGGCCCTGGTACGACCTAGTATTCAGTTTCGTCTCCCCCCAGAACATACACCGACTCTACCATGTGCACACGCCGCCCACCCCACTCATCGAAACCCTTCCCAACGAGATTCTCCTCATGATCACAAGATGGCTGTACATGGAAGACATCGTCAACGTCATCTGCGCCGCGCCCGGCATCGGCCCCGTCTACTCCCCCGCCCTCACAATATCCACCGAGACTGACCCCGACCTTCCCGAGACGTTTATTGCCACGAAGAACGGGCTCAAGTACTGGCACCAGATCATCCGTTACAAGGGGGGCGAGGTGCGCTGGTGGTCGCCGAAAACACCGGTGGGGGTCGTGAGCTCGGAGACTTTGCAGGGGATTAGGACGATGAAGAGGGCGTGTGGGATGGAGAACGTGGCGGTCATGAGGGTGCTGGGTGTGGTGAAGTGGGTGGTGCTGTCGGAGCCGATTTTTGCGCTTTTGGATGGTAAGGAGGTGGTGGGCTCATACCGTCCTTCCCCGAAGAGTAAGGTGGGTACCGAAAGGGGTAGAAATCATTTGTTCCGGGGTAGTAATAGGTTGAGAGGCGGACTACTAATAGGGCGTGGGCGGCCAGAAGGGCGTGGGCGGCGAGAAGGGCGTGGGCGGCGAGAAGGGCGTGGGCGGCCAGAAGGGCGTGGGCGGCCAGAAGGGCGTGGGCGGCCAGAAGGGCGTGGTTGAAGTCGTCATGTAGATGTAGCTAAAAGAAGATATGGTCATATATGAGGAGAGGGAAATCACAACAGTGTGTACTTCTCCACCGTGAATTATGAAGTCTTTGACATGATTCAGAATGTAGCGAGGGAACCTGCTAGCAATCCCAGGCAATCGCAAGAGTGGAAGTATCGAGACCACCTATGTGCCCACCAGTCTAGAGGTGCACCTCAAGACACAGCGCGTAAAGAGACAATCCCATAGTTGTTGTTCTTGTGTCTCACTGGAGGTGGAGTTGAGCGTTTAGCATGAATTTTAAGTACGCGGTTCCGGGGCGCCCGAGATTCAGCGGACCGCCTGTTAGGGGTTTCTACAGATAGAGCAGTCACCCCACACTACCAGCTCCTCGACCACCATCGCACCTCCACCTTCCTCGCCGTTATCCACACCACCACCACCAACTCCTAAACCACCATCATTCCTACCCCGCCACCCATCAGTTTATCATCTACCATCTACCCTTACATCAACCTTTTATAGCCCTTCACCCCCGCCGCACACACCCGCCGCCTTTATCACACAGCTGGCTCCAGAAAGGTTACTGGCCAAACTAGGAACCTAACGACGTCCCTACAACAAACATCATTTAAGGCTAAACTGAGTCTACCAAAGCTAAAAGCTCTATAAGACCGAAGAAGGAAACCTTGATCAAGAACCATAACTGACTGGCCATGGGCTATTATAACAACCCTCGTCACGTACGGCGCGTGTTGGAAGAGAGGAGCGCCTGTCAAAGCCTTATTCTAACCAAGCATGGCTACTCTTGGTACCGTTGTGCTGGTACGGCCCAGGTTTTCTCAGAGCAGGCTCTGATTGAATATTAAAACCGAAGCCCCTAGACTTACCAAGACTATAAAAATGCCTAATTGGTCTGGTTCGAGACCACTAGTATCAGCAGGTGTTCACCAGTCTTATGAGGGATTGTCATGACCATGCAGGCTGACCCCGCGAAAGATCGCTAGAACTCAAAATTATCATTAATACTACACAACACAAATAAAACCTCAATTGGGTGCATAGGACAAATCCTACGAGCGAAATCGGGAATACACATCGCTCGAGTGATACCCTGTGATTAACAATCACCGATCATCACTCGCCTATTCAAGGAGTACTACATGGCTGGCCAGAATCAAGACCAATCATAGGCGAGATCATAAAGTCACTGTCATATAGATATTAGGTCATTGGAGGTACTTAAATATTATAAGCCCGTTTTAGGATCCATGCAAGATAACCTTGCATTGAACCTGATCGTTCCTGCATACTATATATACTCTGGGACAGCGGAAAACTTGCCTTTCATAGTAACTCAAACAACACACAGAACTTAAAGTATTTTATTTATTTCTCTCACAATATCAACCCAACTACAAAAAAAATCAGAACCCAGACGCCCTTCAATAAAACAGGAAATTATCATAAAGAAATTAAAAAGTAGGAGAGTGAGCGGCCGTTATGCGTTACGCGTCAATAAAAAGGAGCGGGGGTACTGTCATTCACGGGGTATTGGTGGATACTGTGTATTGGCGAATGGCAGGTAAAAGTTGGCTTGGCTGCCTCTTTTTTGCCCTGTCCGCCATCACCCAGTATCCGCCAATACCCCGTGAACGACAGTAATCATCAGCAAAGCTATTATCGAAACGACGAGAATCAAGAGATTCTCGAATCCACTCAAACCGCTGCCGCATTTCTCCTTACAGCCAGATCCGCCATTCCTCCGCCTAACCGATTCTTATTCACAAATCCACCTTCCTTCGCACCCCCCGAATTCGACCACGTAAGGTTGCCGCTCCAGTCCCAAGTCTCTAAGGCCTCTTTCTGAATCCTCCACAGCTCCGTCCCCATATCAATCAGCTTCTCACCAAACTCTTTCAAAACAATATCCACATCTAGGTCTGCATCGATGTCAATATGCTCGCCTAGTCCAGCCTCACCACCAAAGGTGGCCCGGTACCAGCAATCCTTCAAATGATCGACCCACGGCGCCGCTAGTTCCGGCTTGATGTTATTTGCGACCAAGTAGAAACTTGAACGGTTTCTGTGCGCAGCCTTGGGCTTGAACAAGTTGATATCGGAGAACTTGTTAAACTGGTACAACATCGCTACTGTATCCCAGTGATCTGCCCCATGAAGCAGCACAATCATTGACCCCCCGGGACGCACGTGGGTTAGTCCCAGGATCAGTTGGGATAAAGTTAATCTCAGCGGCTCCCACTTTCTGAGCATCCCATGCTCATGGCCTCTCAGCCTGTTTCCATCACAAATAACAAGCCCATAGCTCCATAGCTTTGGCAACGGCCTCAGGCTATTCTTACTAAATTCGTCCCTATCAGGGGAATCTGCGGGGATGCTCGCACCGGCTGGGAGGAATACGGTGTGCATGGTAATGTCCGTATATGTGATGGCCACATTGCTTCTTCCCTGGGTTCGGAGCAGCATTTGATGCCCGCCCTGGGAGGTAGGCAGGCTAGTTCCGTCAACTACACACCGGAAATTCTGGCGGAGTGCGTAATCGGCAAAGCCGCCCGGGGCAATACAGAGGTCGAGCACTGATTGGCAATTTTCCTGGCTGAAGGCGTGGGTGGCATCGTTGATTTGGGCAGCGATCTTGATCATCATGTTATAGAATCCCCTCTGTTTCTGCAAGTTTGCGGTGTCGGCGGCAAACTGTCGATTCTTGAAAAATATGTCTGCCTCTTCTGATTTCCAGCCCTGGATACCATAATTCGGTAAGTTATAGACCTGGTGGAATGCAGATGAAATTTGGCGTCAAATACGTACTTCTCCACGGAAAACTTGCAGCTCTCTGTATACATCTACATTTTTCTCGAGGTATGCCTTTACAGCTGACCATTTAGGCTGCGATGGGCGAGTGTGAAACTTTGTTCTCGGCCATGGTCTCTCGGAATTACTAGAACTGGTTGGATCGCCAACTTTATCCTCAAGGACTGAAAATCGATTGGATGACATCTGTTCGAATTAGTATTATATAAGCCAAAAAAGCTCGAGAAGACCGGGTTTTATACAATTAACAATTAACTTGAATTCAGCTAGCGCTTATTATTGGAATCCAGTACCGGTATACCACAACTAAATAAGCGTCGCTTATTCGTAAAAGGATTCTGGATGAGAGCTCGCGGATAGTGGAGAAGAAAAGACTATTCTCAACTGCACATTTCGACTTCAATATATACAAGTTTTAAGGCCTCCCATTTTTGGTCTGAGCGAGAAGCCTGCAACAATATGAATCATTAGGCAAGCAGCATAGCCTTGTCCGAGTGATTCCACATGAGTACGATTGGCCGCCTTATTTTTATGGTGGATGTGATTGGCCGCATTGATCTAACAACCAGATTTCCAGAGTCAGAAATGGAAGCATCTAGAGTGATAGGCGGTTAATACAATTAATTATATACATATGTATCGGGTCGCTGCAATTCACCCAACTAGTGTAAGACTTGTCGCGTTGGTTAAAAAGAAATCTTACGATCTACTCTAGAACCTCAGGAATCAGGCGGACGGGCGAGATTGCGATTCGTCGGGAATAGGCAGTTTCGCGGTGACGATCCTCAAAAGCGACCAGGCTATCTCTTCCTCAAAAACGTTTCCTGACCTGAGAGCGCTAAGTTGAAACAACTTCCCTAATTCGCCAAGTGCCTCCTCGGTGCCTAACTTCTGACGTCGCATTAAGTAAACTGAGCACACAGCCAGGGCCTGGGGGAAGGAGTGTACTCGCGTCAAGGAAAAAGAACCAGAACATGCAAGTGAGAAAGCAGGGATTATTTGTACGGAGTGGCGCTGAGCTGCCATACAAACTAGGCATTTGCATGTTCTGGTTCTTTATCCTGGACGCGAGTAGTTAAAAGTTGTAAAGGCCACTCACATCCTTTAAGCTCATCCCAGTTTCCGCGGTTGATTGGCTGGTAAACGTCCTTCCCGAGCTGAGATTGGACAGCCTCGATCCTCAAAACAAACATGTGCATGCACGTGTTTATCTTTGCAGGTCGGTGGCTATATCTGGTGACAGCTTTATCAGCTTCTATATTAGGGTATTGCTCCAACAGAGGTAAAGACATCACTAAGATCAGACGGTAGTGGTTGTTAGGTGGGTTCCACTCATGTTTATATAGAAGAGGTACTTGGTAACATGTATTTCTCGAGCCACGTATTCTATACAAGACACAGATAGGAAGAGCACAGCTCGTCTGTCATGAAAAAAACAATAGCGTAGTTAGCCTCAGTGAGATTTGGCTACTACATGGAGCTTGGGCCACCACCACTGCGAAACGGTAGGTTGAGATATACTTGAGATGCAGCCTTGTTCCAGTTTGAGCTTAGATAGCGATCTCTCATTTGCTATCGAACCGCAGCGCCGTGTAAGCCTTATCTAAACCTCACGGGCCCTTTATCCGAATCGCAGGCTGTTCAGGAACTTTATCTAGCTCCATGGCGATATATATAGAGAGACCTTTAACAAGTTAGATATCAGCATCCTCCCCACAAGGCTACGATAAATGATCATGATCATGCAGCACTTTAGATAAGAGCATCAGTAGATCTTCACTTTCCCCGCCGGGCCTTAGCAGTAATGTGTATTTATTGAAAAGCCAACCAGACTGGGCTATCCAACGATCGACAGGACTCCGCCAAAAGTGAAGGTTTACACGCTGCACAGCCCCGCCCCCGGGCCCACGAGGTGGGAATCAAGTTCGATCCCAGGTTTCCCTCAGTCTCGAAACCCGTCAAGGTACCTGCAACAAGTGAGGCGAGAACGCTCCCGCATCCTAGCAAATGCGCAACACCGTATTTATATTGGGCTGATGGTCTGAGACTAGGCCGGTTTTATACTGGGGTTAGAATCGTTAGATATATACTGGAATATCCTGGCGCCGGCCTGATCATGACGAGATAGGAAGCTAGAGGTCTGAGCACTATCTTCCCTGAAAATCGCTCCTTACAAGTATCAACATCGTCCCCCATTATGCATACTCAAAAGCCTAATCATGATCCATGTATATATAACAGCTCGTTATACTCTATACAGGGTCTCATAACTACTAGGTCAGGGTTAGGGTTTTCGTATTCACTTGGACTTGATATTATTGTCCCATTACTTCGCACAATCTACTACTCGTAGTTTTCTTGCGTTTCCAGACTGGACTGGGTCTGTATATATATAGGCGCAAATTGTGCATGACAACCATATTTTAGTGGTATGCAGACCCAGTCCAGTCCGGAAACGCAAGAAAACTACGAGTACAATCACACAATAGATACAAATACGGAAAAATACGAGCGAATATGAAAGCCCTTAATATCAGGGCTATTTTGTTACTAGTAGAAGAATTCTAGAACTGCCAATGCCTGGCTTGAATATTTTACCATGCTCGAGACCTTCCTAGGTCTAGTAGCTACAGACTACAGTACAAAAAAGGGTACGTGTACTTTAGTAATACGGAATTGTGCAGAAGTTTTGAACTGAATTGGAATTATAACCATTATACTGCAGAAACACCGCAAATTCGCGGTATTCTGCCAGATAATGCACTAAATCCACCCGCTTTGGGGGGCCTGTAGGTAGCTACATGTATGGATAGCTCTCCAGCATGCCGACCTACAATGATTACTGATGACGCGCCCGAGGGTTTGTTTATCAGCTAGTGGTTCATCTAGCGTCTCACTAGAGATCGGACTCAACTCAGTTAAGAACCACTGCCCAGATCTAAACCACCCACCCGCAGATCCAATCTTCAACTGGTCCATCGAAAAGAATGAAGAAAAAGATAGAGACTCAGGCAGGGGAGCTTTGGAGAACGCCTAGAGATATCGATATTGGTATATAACTCGATCTTGAGAATCTTCCAGGACTTGGATACATTGCAATTGCATTACTCGGACCTTGACCCCCATGGCCACATTAGGGTCCACTAGTGGTCTTGGCTCACAGCCACTCACTCGTTCCACACTAAAAACCCAACTCCATACAGATTTCTTCTAATGGCGCATTTAGAAAAACTACACTTTTAGGGATTCTTTATACAACTCTATAGACCAGCTTGTCCATCAACGAGCGCTGCCCATCAGCGAGCGTCCACCAAACTTTGGTGGGTGGCAACCGTTGCATCCTGGGGGTAGCGGGCAAAATAGCGGGCAAAATAGCGGGCAGCGCTCGCTGATGGGCAAGCTGGTCTATCAGGCCTGGGCGAATATTCACCGATATATCTATTATCTCTTGCTAATGTCATGACCCATTAGCACCCCACATCGCGAACAGGAGCCACACACCCCGCCACCGACAGAGAGGAATCCGGCTCCCGGCACAGATGAATTCATTATCAACGATATCATAGTTTCCGGATTACAGGTGTGTCTATAAAGATAAATTTATATTTCTACTATAGCCAAGTGCGTACATACATAAGTCCGTTTCTCTCTCCCCTCATTATCCCACCCATCCCGCAGCCATAACCATAACCATAGCCAACCGTAAGGAAAGATTTCATCACAACAAAAGAAAGCAAAGCCCACCTCATCATCGGAAGCAGCAGCAGCGCATCTCAAAACCAGACATAGAGCAAAAAAAGAACAAGAAAACGAAACAATAAACGAAAGGCCATTTACATCTAGCTCTTCTAAAACAGCCAAGACACAAATGTTCTATAAAACCATCCACCGCGATTTTCGGTCCCCTTCTCTGCCTGGCTGGCCAAGAATGCTTCCTCCTCTCTGTCGATCCTGTCCTTGCCGGTAAACAAGTCCGCATCCTCCGGCGCCAGCCCTGTGCCCTTGTACAAGAACTTGTACCCAAATATCATAATCAAGTACAGCGGAATACCGATGTAACCTGTTATAAACGACTTGTAATCCCACTTGCCATAGGATCCAGCCACAAACACATTCCAGTTCTTAAACACCGCAATCAGGATGCACATCACCAGGGCGGCATAAGATCCCGCCACTCCGAGGGGCGCCGTATACGCCAGCTGGTCGTCCGTGACGTTCTGAGCGCGGCGCGCGCGCACAAAGTAGATGTGGGTGACCAAGATCGAGATCCACGTCAGGATACCGAAGATGGTGACGAGGTTGACAAAGTACGTGAACACCGTTTTGGAGTCCTCAGCAACGTTCATGAATGCCAGCAGGGCGAAAGATGCCGATAGGCCGAGGGCGTTGTAGGGGACACCGCGGGAGTCAGTCTTGGCCAGGAAGGCCGGGGCCTTTCCTTCTTTCGCGAGACCGTAAATGGTTCGTGAAGCGATGTAGAGGTCCGAGTTCGAGGCCGAGAAGACGAAGATGAGGATGCACGCGTTGAGGATTCCGGGGAGGTGCGGGATGCCGCTGAGCTGGATGGCGACGACGAAGGGACTCGCGGTGGCGCCGGTGGACGCCTTGGTAGCGTCCATGAGTTTTTGGGAGTCGTAGGGGACGAGCATGCCGAGGAGGAAGACGGAGAAGACGTAGAAGAAGACGATACGGTAGAATGTCAACTTAATTGCGCGGGGGATAGTCTTTCGCGGGTTCTGGGCCTCGCCGACAGTCACACCGACGAGCTCGGTGCCGAGATAGGCGAAGGTTGCGCTGACGAAGGTCGACCAGAGACCGAGGAAGCGGCCAGTGTCGCCGGTGTCCACGTAGGTTCTGAAGGCGCCGGGGCTCTTCCAGTAGCGGAAACCTTTGCGGTCGTGGTCGGGGCCGCCGCCGAGGACGAGGACGGCGGAGAGAATGATGAGGGCGACGATGGTCACGACTTTGATACCTGCGGGGGGTTAGAGGGTATTCATGGATTACTTGGGGGATGAGGGGGATTTCGTACTGGATAGCCAGAATTCAAACTCTCCGAAAAAGCGGATTCCAAAGTAGTTGATGCAGATGATAGTAACCAGAAAGATAGCAATCCAGACTCCCGGATTGACTCTGTCTCGGTCTACCCAATACTGTAACACCAGCGCCGCAGCCGTCAATTGATTTGGCGTGACAATGATGTATCTATTCACGCACCAGAGCTATCAGCACTTGATATCCCAGGGAGAAGTACTAATAATAAAGAAGAGAGCAATAGAAAAAGCACATACTTAAACCAATATGTATACCCCAACGCAAACCCTAGAGCCGGATCACAAAACCTCGCCGCATACCCTGTAAACCCCGAAGACATTGGCAGCCATGCCGCCATCTCTCCCAGCGCACACATTACCAGATACACCAAAAAACCCACAATCGTATACGAGATCAATATAGACGCAGGTCCCGCACGGGCCAGCGCCGATCCACTAGCACACACATCGAGTTAGAACCTTTCCATCCATCACCCTACACATAACGATAAAGCTTAACGCCAGGCGCATTGACACTCACGTTCCAATAATTAACCCTGTCCCGATAGCACCACCGATAGCAATCATGGTGATGTGTCTCGCCTTGAGCCCACGATGCAGCTCCATTTCACCCTCGTTGGGCAACTCTGTGACTGGCTCATCGATCTTCTCGTTGCTGCGGGTGCCCCGCTGCTCCGATGAGGAGGAGGAGATACTGGTGCCGTTTCCTCTGCGGTTCATGGTGGTGGTTGGCGAGAGAAAAAAAGCTGGATTGCTCTGTCTGTTTGGTCTGGTCGCGTATATTTATAAGTATATGTTATTTTTCCAGTGGAGAGGGTGCAGTGCCGTCATGCAGTGGTAATATGATGGAGTAGAGAGGAAACTAACCAGGCAAGTGAAGAACGACAATCCCAGGTGAGCTACTCTAGAGAATGGAAAACGCTCCTATGCGGGGGGAGGGGAGGTAAGATATAGTCAGTCCAGTTCTAGGGACGTGATACAAAGAAGAAAAAACACAAGGCAGGGAGAGGTAGGCAGGTAAGCGGGTGCTGACAGGGAAATAATTTTAATTTGCCTCTCTGGTGAATCTCTGCTGCTGCTTCTACGAGGCGCCCTCTTTCTCCTTCCCAAAATGTGCATACAGTTGAGAATACCTAGCTACCACAGCTGCGCCCAGAAAATAACCATGAAGCTAAACTATCAACTTACCTACTCCACCAACATACATACTCCTATGCCCAGGCTAGCTTCCAAGTCTTCCAAGTACCTAACTTCTCGAAAGCCTTGGGAAGTTGCCTCTTCACCCAAAGCAACCAAAAAGCAAAATACATGTATCCCGGAGATATATCTCGATCCAGTAACGTTCTCCCCAACCCTAATTTCAACAATCAAATAAGCTCCCGACGAAAAGCGAACCTCCTTCCCTCGCAACCAATCGCACTGTCTCTCTCTCGTATTATCACCACCACCACTGGTAGTGGTAGCAGTGGTAGAAGCAGCTAATTCAGTAATAGAAAATCAGAATAGATTTCAAAACAGCACTTCTTTCCTTCCTATCATCAACAGCAGGATGAAACCACCAGCCTGTGTAACCAAATCCCTCCACAAATCAGCACCGCCGCCGGGAATGTTGCACAAATATCACCGACCGGAATGCCCCCGCAGTTGCAGCGAGATCTGGTGGTTGGTGGTGGGGGTGGGCGTCCGTTTGTCCGTGCGCCAGCCAGCCATCAAGCCTCCCCCCTGCCCCCAAGAAAGCCGTTGCCAACTCTTCTTTTTCTTATCAGGCCAACCGACATATGATGCCAGCGGCCAACTGAGCGAGAAATAGGGAAACATACGGTCATATCTCTTGACCGATAGAGGTCGTATGTAAGAGAATTTACTTTACTTTTTCAAAACGCATTTTATCCGACTGGGCTCGCGAAGCTCCTTCTCATCCTCCTCACCAGCTCCTCTTGGCGGGCGGTAAACAAGATTCCTCAGCTTTCAACATCGGGAAGGTCCCGCTGCCACATTGCCCAGAGATCTCTGGGCTTTTCCTGGGCTGACGAGTTCTCTTCGTCGCGTGTTCGGTTTACTATTCAGGATGGACTAGACAGCCGTACTCTATCGTACCTACCCGTAGAGATTAGACGAAACTAGCTAGTTAGTAATCTATCTCGAAACTACTACCGCGGTCCCTGCACGCTGATACTGCGGTACGCCATCCTTGGAGACGACAACCCGCGCCCTCTACTCTGCTTGAACCCTAGCCCCGGCTTCAGGGGAGATAGGAACTGTATCGCGAGGAAACATGTAGATGTTGACTACATCTTACTAACAAGTACTCTACCGATTTCTGCGCGCCTATCGTGAACGAAATCCTCTAACTAACCTCATAACCTATCCCTACCGCCCCACTTCACGCGCGGCCATTGAATAGGATAATCCCTGCCACGAGATCCACCTCCCTATCATAAATGATAAGTACCTACCATCTTGACAGTTAGAAATGTGATAAATCATCAGATACACGTTCGAAACCGTGCCTTCCAGAACGCCTTGGGAGAGCGGGAATCGGTGTTGTACAACGTTGGACGAGGAGATCCAGCCACTAGATAGATAGGTGCCTCGCCTGATAGTGAGGCTCAACTTCATAGGTACCTGATGCATACAAGGTATGAGCAATCGAGACAGGTACCTTGTGACACTGGCCCTTGAGTCAAGTATCCAACCACTCACCCTTCACTCTAGAGGGAGGCATTGTTATGCCCAACCGATAAAGATCTGCTTTGTGCGACCTGTGTGTGTACCACGCCTGTACCACCCCCGCTGGTGGTACGAGTCTAAGCCACGGCGCACATGTACCACTGACTTGTACAATGCTCTCAGTATCCCCGTATGTATATTTACATGTACATATTTGTAAAAGTCGCGCAATATAACATGTATATCAATTGGGAGATCCCGAGAGTTTGCAGCCTTGTTCGTGGCGCGAGTGACGTGCTATGAAGATATGTAGGCAGGAGCAGCCTTGGTTGAAGCTAAAGCTAAAGACCGGTATAATGATCTCTCGAGAAAGCCTTGGTGGAAGCTAGTGGGACGGTAGGTGCCAGTATGGGCTTTCGAGAAAGCCTTGTCGAATAACATGCACTAGTCAACACCAACAAACATAACATGTATATGTAGCCATGCATCAATAAGGATTGTAACATGCCGTAATGAGTACTTCTGGAAATAACGTTCACACGTTTGATACTATTCGACGATAGTCGAAAGTCCCCGCACATGATGATCCGGATTGAACTCGAATTGTGACACCATGCTAGCTACATGTTAGCACACCTTGATTCTTGAACACGTATGTACGAGATAGATACTAAAATAACAACTATATCAAATACCATTCGACGATAGTCGAAAGCCCCCTCAGAATTGAAGCCGGTCCGATCGAGAATATAATACGAGACGTAGACCGAACAGCCCCACGCATCGATACGAACCCAACCGCACTTCCATTCGACTGGAAACACACCATCCTCTAACGATCAGGTGCCGGTATGCCACGGATCCGGTTCTCTGCGAGAGACTCTGAAAGTGGGGTGTTCGAATGTGGGGTCTGAAACAGCGATATCCGACGGGTAGAGAGAAAAGGATCGAGGGGATTGAGGTATACGTATGAGATTCTTTCACGGGTCAAAGAATAGATATCACGTTACGTGTCACCCCAGGAGAAGCCCACCAGAAACGAACGTGTACACGAAAAACAAACCTTAAACTTTACAATGTCACTCGATCTCTACGTCCTTTCCACAACTCCCCACAAGAATAATCCGAGTATCAGTACCGTGGATGAATTGAATTCGAGGAAAGCACCCGCACAGGGAAGAGAGGAAGAGACTACGAAATATATAAGTATTATTCCCTCCCCTCTATCCGCCAGAAAAGCCATTTAATTGCATTTTCTTCGCCGAAAATATACTGGTTTTGTTATAGGGTTTTTACAATATATATGCAGATCGGTTCAACGGCCAGCTAGATAAACCTATAGCTCTGGTATCTCTCCAAATCCATCAATATCCTTCACACCCCGTCTAGGTCAATGCCACACACCATTCAAGAACATAAACAACCTCACCCGCAAACGCAGGTCCTGGCATAACCACGCACTAATCCTCTATAAACGCAACGCATTATCCAAGTACATTGTCCATGCCAGATAGAAACACAACACAGGAGGCCAAATCCCCAAATTCCAAACCCAATATCCAGGCCGCGCGCGCATATGGACCTGTCCGTACTTGCAAGTAGTCTCTTTCAACGTACAAAGTGAGTATCGCCAGCATATACAGCAATTATAGAAGGTCCATGAATCTACATGTAGTTCTCCATATACAGACTGTGTCTGGCATATCGTAGGAAGATACTGTGAGTGAATACGATATTAGTGACTACATGTAGCTTAAAATGAATTAGCCCCAAATCATGAAACTTTTCACTGGCTATAGTCCTTTCTTCCTCGCCCCTGTATATATACAAAAAGTATGACCTTATATATACACAGGCCCCAGATGAAACAAAAATACAAAATCAAAACAGTTTCATTTCCTTCGCGTATGTAGCTATATTTATACGGAGGGAAGCCTGATTGATTCGGCGTAGGGACTCGTACTCGAACGCGTGATCTTAAATCCCAATGGTAACACACTATGTGTGCTAGAAATTCATCTCCGAGTATAGGAGTAGGAGACCCTAGAGAAGCATTTATAGCGCAAATTTGCATGTAGGTACCCTCAAGGTGATAACTGAGCGCCAAGACCCGAGTGATATGTCATGATTTCAATTCTGGGCACGAGCATGCATATTGGCAACAAGTTTTTCTTCGCATTTGACGCGATGGGGATAACTGGATCGTATTATTTAATCTATTATTATAAAGAAGAAGTCCTACTTAAACTAGATGGTACATATTGTTACATGATAAAAGTACACCGCCCCAACTTCATCCCCCCATCCCCACTCATGACCACTCACTGCCTACTCTTGATGATATCTGCCGCCTTCTCCGCCACAGCATACACGGTACTCTGAATATGTGTCGCAGGAGTCATTGGAATAAGTGAAGCATCCACAATACTCAGATTCTTCATTCCATAAACCTTCAACGTGCTATCCACCACACCTCCGTACTCCCTCCTCATCATCGAGCACGTCGAACTCGGGTGCGCAAACGTCGGGGTCAGGGTTGCCCTAATCGCTGCCTTGATTGCCTCATCCGAGTCATTCGCTGGGTCTGGTGTGAGCGCCTTCGCACCTAGCGCCTGGAGGGCTGGAGTATCATAGAGCCTCCACACAAAGCGGATGAGCTGCACCATCATGTCCATATCCACCGGGTTACTCATGACACCATAGTCAACGACGGGAGCAGCCCATGGGTCGGTAGAGTTGATGTTGATGCTACCACGTGAGAACGGCTTCTCGAGGCCATTTCCACCGCCGGCGGAGCCACCAAAGGCGATTTCTTGGATGGCGACACGGCCGCTGGAGATGTAGTTTGCGAGGAGCTCTGTTTGGCGCTTGTGGCCCTCGAGGATGGTGGAGTCGGTGCCGGCGGGGTAGAAGTCGGCGGGGTTCTGAGAGAGGGCTTTTTGCATAAGGTTGTTGGCGATCGACTGGGAGCTGAGCTGGGGGAGAGTGTTGAAGGCGACCGAGTTACCACGGGAGATAGTGTATGGGCCCTCACGCTTTGTACGGTATAAAGCTAGTTGCTCGGCGGCATAGGTAGCGTTTGAGGTAAGGAGTGCAGGATTGATCGGGTAGTCGTTTGAGACTAGGGTTAAGGTTAGAACCTATCTCTCCAAGAGAGTGATATGGTGAAGGGTACTTACATGATCCCGAGAAGTAGAGCACAGGATGGTCTTGGAAGTTGCTTCCTACACCGGGAAGATCAACCACCACCTTGATCCCTAGGCTCTCCAACAGCTTCTTCGGCCCAATTCCGGCCAACTGAAGAAGCTGTGGCGTATGTGCTGTTCCGGCCGCCAATACAACCTCCTTCTTCGCAGAAACCTTAGTAGCGGTTTCAGTTGCGCTTCCGGCAAACTCAACACCTGTAACAGTAGTACCGGACAGAACAAGTTTTGTCACTGTCTTTCCGGTAATAAGATGGTAGTTCGATCTCTTCTTGGCCTCCTCGTAATAGCGTCTTGCATAAGAGCGTGTTTGGTTGTCGTTGTCTAGGGAGTTGGAGACCCAGAATGCACCGATAGCATCACCGTTGGCGCCGTCCTTAGGAATGGGAATACCAATCTGCTTGAAAGCTTTGAACCAGTCCTTGACAGCCTGGTACTGGAACTTTGGGAAACTAGACTTGATAACGCCCTGGTAGCCGTGGGCGCTCGGATCGTAGGTGATATTGAACTCGTCTGCTAGCGCCTTATCCGGGGGAGAGAACGTTTCACTCTGAAGAACTGTCAGCTAGAGCTTCCATCACAATCGCATTAAAAAAAAACCTACCTTCTTGAAATACGGGTATATCCCGTTCCAGCCCCAACCAGGATTACCCAGCGCCTCCCACAGGTCATAATCACCCCTTGAACCTCGATCAAAGAACATCCCGTTCACGACGGTCCCTCCGCCAACAACATGCGCAGCCAGAAGACTGTAAGTGCGGTTATTAATATTTTTCTGGGGGATACAGGTCATGTTGTACATGTACTTCTTTCCTGTACCACCCGCCATGCCAGGAACAAGAACTCCATCTTCCTGGTCGTCCAGATTACCGGATTCAATCACGAGCACGGTTTCTAGAAGATTTAAAAGTCAGCAAAAAAAAGAAGAGAGTTGAAGTTAGGGAGCAAAAACTGACTGGATGAGTTCTCAGTAAGTCTGTCGGCGACAATCAGACCACTGGTCCCACCACCAACAATAACATAGTCGTAGGATGCTAGGAGCGAGGTATCTCGTCCCACAAGCTGCGCCTTTGCAATTGGAGATGCTAGGGCAACTGATGCCAGTGATAGTGCGGAAACTAGGTAGGAGGATAAACCAGGCATTATGAATGAACGAATGTGAGAATGCGAAGAACGAGTGTCTGTATATTCTGAGAGATGCTTAGAATTGATGAGGGAGAAAGAAGGAAGATCTAGAAGAGAACTTATATACAAAGACTATACTCGTACTCACGATACCATATCATACAATATAGCTATTAGTGGGGTACGCCACGTTTTTTCGGCGACCGGGTATCGCGGTTCCCTCGTGGCCAAAGAAGTGAGAGTACATGCACTGATGAGGGCATCTTCGGTTTGAAGCGAGTGTAGAGTTTCACAGAGGCTCTGTGTGCTCTGAGGAAGTACCTATTAGTAGGGTATGCAGGGGAAAATTATTAGATGTGCCCACTGCCGAGTAAGATGAATGTTACCTGGGGATCGTATTAACAACTCTGCCCAGACCTGGGAACGCCTATCTCTACTGGAATGAGTCTCCCTAGAAATTACAGCAGTGTCATGTTGAACGGTGAGGGATCAGAGACAATTCTGACTACCCATGTCGTGCGTATATTTTTTACCCCACTGTCTTTCCCGAGTTTTTATTTTTTTTATATTTTTATTTTTTGGGCCTTTGCAAAGGGAAACTCATTGATCAGACGAACTGACTTACATGGAGGAGGTTCATAAAGAGTCCCTCGTAAACTTGGAAAAGGTATCCTCTTCTCCATGTACCTGATAGTGAAAACCTCCACTCAAAGAAAAGAATATTAACACGCTCCTCAGAGTACTTTATGTGTATGTACGTATAGTCTTTGATCGTTATATTCCGTGTACATGTAGTTCTAGTAGTCTTTTCGACCTAGGATAGAGCTAGAGACATAGACAGACTAGCGGAAAGAGCTAAAGGAGAAGACTGACATCTCATGTTTAAATATATGCAGATTAAGGGAATACTTTAACTTTACATGTACAAGTAGTTACGGGCTCGAGGGGCTGGGGGTGGCTGAGAAAGGGGTACGTCTATTTGATTTGACATACTATATGCATGGGAGTCACTAGATCCATGGTATTTGAGAACTATATGTAGTACTTGAGATATGATTGGCTAACAAAACACCGTAGGCTAAAGTGAATAGCAAGTCACATCGAGGTTTGTGCACGGAATACCGTACTTTACTACAATTATTTGCCACTAAAGCATCTCTATTTGAAGATTAGTATTAATATTCTGATACATAACTAGGATCTCTATCTAAAGATTAGTAATAATATTCTAATACCCAACCAGGGTATACCCAACTGGAAGGAGACTCTGATACAAGAACTTCAGAGGGCATGATCAACGTCCTGGCGATAAATTTTGCAAATGAAAAAAACTAAACTGACATGCTTCTTGAGCCAAGCTCGTTCCACCGGGTGATTTTGGGCCGATTGACGTCAATAACCTATATATCTAGAACGGTTCCTACCGTGAACTCTCCTTTCCATCGCGATATCAGATTAAGCCCCTATAGAAAGGCCTTCTATGAGTCTTAATCCCCGTACCGTCTCGTTACGCTCGGCCGGCATCCGACACTCATCCTAACACCATCAGCACCGGCCACGACCGCCATCACCATCACGTCGGAACCCGGTACGACCCAGTCCCGTCGGTAAAGAAATTTCAGCGCATTGCAGTAGCAAAATACGCCTCCCCGCCTAGCTTTGTGTATGAATTATTTATCAAGTTAGGGACCTTTTGTTCCTGCGCCGGCTTGAGATTTCGGAGATCGTCCTGAAGAGGGCATCGAGGTCGAGGGGGTCTCGACTTTATATTAGGCCGAGTTTGAGAGATTTTTATGTAGGCACCCTCCAATGTACTCGTATTTCTCTGACGTTTGTGGACGCGACTGATATTGCATGCCATACAAAAATACGCCAAGCTCATGGTTTTGGATGTATGCAATAATGGCCCAGTTCAAAAACGTCAGCGAAATACTAGTATGTTGTACTGCCTAGCTGCGCGCGCCCTGCATGTCCTTAGAGACCTAGTGCCTCCATGTAGAAGCAAAGTCTCTCCAAGCAGAGGATCTCGACAAAGAGGGAGGATCGAACCTCTCCTACGGCCCGTTCTTCCTATGAGAAGGTCCATTTAGACTATCCTGGTCTAGTAGCTAGTGTGAACGCATAAACCTAGAGTACCTCCTCTAGATGGTCTCATTAAACGAGCCTAGCTAGAGTAAAGAATCTGGAGTTTAACCCCAAAGAACTTTAGCTACTCTGCCCAATCCCTGATCCCAGTACATATTAGAGTAAGGTGTCTTGCCGTCGTGGGGTTGAAAGCTGTCACTAGGAAGGGCGCACACAAGCATTAATGCCCAGTACCGCCTTCTTTTGAACATTTCGGGGTTTAGGGGGCGCTTGGCGAGGCGGCCGCCACACTTTATTCCGACGTCTCTATGGACCAATCGAATGCCACTAGTGTGTACTCAATTATGACAAGGGAAGAAATAAAAGTAATTCAATCGCGAGATTCACGGCGGTGAGGCTGGTGCTCAGTATTTCCCTCTGTCCTGTAATCTCGTATGTGAACTTTTGAGGCTGGCTGAAAGGTAGCTTGCGCTTGTTTACTGATCTATTCTGCGTTTAGGGTAAGATTAGCCGGAATGGCGCTTGTGATACGTATAGTGCGGGTTGATATTGGTAAGAACTAGTGGTGACGCGTTTAAGTAATTGAGTGAAGATTCACCGCCCATCATGCCATGGCCATGGATGATTTGGGATGCACGCATGCAATGCACTGGCCAGCTGGACCCCATTACTAGAAGAATCTATCAAGAGACAGGTATCATCGAGCAGTGTATTTGCTACCCACGGATACTTGTAGCTAGAGTACTGATCACCTACGTACTTCTCAATTACGCAGCTTGGACTAGTAGTAGGTCAGTACTCACAGGTTGTATTTATTTCGAAATTTCTGTTTCTATTTGTTTATTTGTGTTTCATTTTCAAATGTGTCCTGCTAAACCCACTATTTTAAGGACTCTCGTCAACGTGCCAGCACAAGTGTTATCACCTTTGGGCTGACTGAAAGCACATATATGTGGTCTAATCAGACAAAGTGCCACTCAAGCCACGATTCATGAGGTGTCTCATTTTACACCACGTACGACACCAAATATCAGCTGAGGGACCTATGAATCTCTCCTCTGTTGAGCGGTCCGGGTGCGGTAAACCGATCTTACCGTGCCGCCTACTATCGTTCCAGGACAACGGTTTCTCCATATGATCTAGAATTCCTATGTATCCTAATTCAAAGACATCATCGATAGAGCCACAAATTCTCCGCCCCTTCGCTTTCCGCTGGCTTTCCTTTTGTCTGCCCCCAGCTACCTAAATGGCATGGGTTTTTTTTCGATTCTTTATATGGTTACCGCAAGGCTATTCCAGCAAATTGCACGCCTTGCATTTCCTACAGTATAACAAGCTTTCCCAGGGCACTGTTCTTGGGAAGCTATGGGTATTCTAGGTGCGCTCTAGATCTATCTACATATTGTGCCCGCGGTTCAATGATTACTTAGGCATGCTTCGCCTATGTATATGTACTCAAGAACTGGGACAACTTGTAGAGAATTATCGGTTACCTATCAGCCATGATCAGATGAATCAGGTTTCATCCAGCTCAGGACTTAGCACCTTCCCTGGCGTTACATCTCCTCGCTAATTTATGTGACGAGACTAGCTGCCAATATCACGGACCGCTTCCAGCAGAGGAAAAAAATAACCCGAGCCATTGCACCCCCCAGCTAGAATCTTCCTGGGCAGCTGGGGTAAAAGACATGAGACATTACATCGTGGGCGGTGTGAATAAACCCGCACCTGCACATGAAAAAAAATAGGATTCTTTGGCGTAATATGGGGCAATCGAATCATTTACGTGCTTTTTGGCCATATGAACAGACGCAAAAGTATATGAAGATACCTAGATAACTATACTCATAAAGTATGTACTACTGTTCTACTCTATTCTACATATCTACGTGTATAATTCATTTCCCACGACTATTATTTTGGTCATTAAAGTGCCGACTTAACCAACTAGGTACTAGGTACTATCTGCGGATTAATGTGGTGAGCTCCAGGGCTCTAGCTAGATGACCCGGCTCCGCGGCCGCGAGACATATATTTGTTTTTTACTGGATTTGGCTCAGGAGCAGAGACATACCCGTTTTGCCTACCTGCCTGGTCGGTTACCAAGTAAGTGAGATAAAACCAGAGCAGGCAGTGGTCTGCGTAGCTATTGTCAACTGAAGCATCTGCCGAAGCGAGTATGTATTTACTAAGCCTACCAAGTGTCTCTAGCGAAGGTCGCGCAAGTCTCTACATGGATCTACCGATGAATCGACATCTCTCATGAAGCAGTGAAGATTATTTTCCACAATGGTATGTTTCCTTTGTAGATCGATTTACGCCAGAATAGCTCCGTATGCTTCGCAATTCACACGCGGTCGTGCACGAGCAGAATCAATGAAAAATTTGATCCTATTGAAGAAAAAGGGCGACTGTCTCGGATTACATACATGTAAAATACTTTAAGGTGAAGGTCTGAGAGTTGAGTAGGATAGCAAATCTTACCTACCTGGGATCGGAGCACTACTACTATGTATGCTGCTCAAGCAGTGCATACTTTAAAGTACAGCACCAGCTGCAGGGGTACAGATAAAAACCAGGGCTAAAAACAGCCAGAGGTAGGGATATTGCTACCCAGGAAGACAATTCATCCAGAAGGTGGGGACCAAATCGATCAGAAGGTTCTTGTGTGCTTCATTTGCTACTTTTCTGCGGAAGAATCTATCGTTTCTTTATTTTCACTCTTCCTTCTCGATTCCCTGCACTGGCGGCGGTACGGTGTTGGGTACTAATACATATTCGATACCAAGATCCAAGATCTAGAAATTCGATCACATATTCCTCAATCCCACTGGTCTTCAGTTCTTCCATTTATTTTCCCGCCATATAAACCTTAATTCCTTCTTCACTAGGCCTCTGAGCCTTCCATCTCGACTCTAGCCAGCCATGGCGACAACCCCTACCCCAAACTACATTGACCCGCCCTCGCGCGCAGTGATGGTGGTGGGCACAAACACGAGCATGATATGTCTTGCTGGTTTCTTTGTGGGGTTGAGAGTTTTTACGAGGTACAAACTTACGAATCTGGGGAATGATGATATTTTGATATGTGTGGCTTGGGTATGTATGTCTTCTCTAAGAAATATGGGTTGCACCGATAGTTACTGACATACAACTTGAATTAACAGGTTCTCTCATTTGGCATGACAATGGCCATAGCTTTCTGTATGTTCTTTCCATCTTTGTTATATTCACACCAACAGTAAATACTACGAACTATTATACTAACAGGCCTCATCTAGCGACTAAATATGGTCTCGGCCGGCACTACTGGGATATACCCCCCGAATGGCACGCAACGTCGTGGAAACTGGCATACACATTCACGGCCCTTTACAATCCAACCCTAATGATGACCAAGACGTCTATCCTCACCTTCTATCTCAACAAGCTGGGCAGCGAAAAAACCTTCCGCAAGGTGTGCTGGGTCACAATGGGATATGTTATTTGCAGCAGCACAAGTATATTTTTCTCGAATATATTCCAGTGCCGGCCAATACGAGGCGGATGGGACTTTACGGTTCCAGGGCGGAAGTGTATCAACGTAAGATCCCAATATGCATGGTAGAAATGAAGAAACCAAGGAGGTCAGTCAATATATCGTGAAGCAAAGAAGCTAACTTGAAGGTTTGGCAATTAGACTACCCCTCTGTACTATTTCTCAGGCGCAAATAACCTCGTAACGGACCTCGTCCTCCTCTTCCTCCCCATGCCCGTAATCTGGAAGCTGCGTCTCCCTCTCCGCCAGAAGCTCGGCCTCGTATTGGTCTTCTCCATGGGCGCCTTTGTCACCGGCGTCAGCATAGTCCGCCTCCACATGGTCAGCGTCGCAATGGGGAGCAAAGATCTCTCGTGGACTGGCGCCGTATCGAGTACCTGGTCCGCCGTCGAGCTCAACGTTGCTATTATCTGCGCGTGCACACCCGCTTTCAAGCAGTTCCTCTCATGGGTTGCACCGGGTATTATGGGCAGTAGCATCAAGAAAAGTGCGTATTATGGTAGCGGCGGGTTGAAATACCATACGAATGACGGCACTGGTGGAGTGGCGGTCGCGACGAGAAAGAGTCACTTGGGAGGGCTTGGGAGAACGACGGGAGGCGGTGCGACATGCACCATCACCGCCACGCATAACAACGACAGCGAGGAGTATATCATGCATGATTTGGCGGGGGAGCCGCACCAAGGGATGGGCATCAGCGTCAATAAGACGGTTGAGGTTATGGTGCAGAGTGAGTCTGTGAAGGACGATTCGACGAGTTCCCAAGGAAGAGGAAGAGATGTTGCGAGAGTGGGGAGTTGGTAGGCTTCTCTCTATCTCTCACACTACTTATTTATTTTTGTATTATAGGCGCAGGTGATTTTTTGTGAATGTGTTGATGTCTCTCTGTAGGCCAAGTGAAGTGCGGCGTTAGTGTTTTTGCACGGTTTTTTGACGGCGCAGGCGTGGGTCTACCCAGTCTAGTCGGGGGAGCTACCTCTCCCTCTCCCTCTCATTATTACTACATATTTTTTTCTTTTCCCTTTGTATCTCTCTCTTCTCTGTATGTACACGATATTTTAGTCCCTAATCCCGACGAGGCCGCCCAGAGATGTATATAACGATTCATCAAACAAATACAAATAAACACACAAAATAAAGTAATCAAACATTGACAGCGGGTCGGCTCGCCCGAACCAAAGACTACATGCATAAAAGCCAAGATGCCCAGCCCAGCCCACCTCCATCTCCATCTCCATCTCCATCTATGAATGGATGTAGTATGTAGGAGCCTCCCGGAAATGGCTCAGAGTTTAAACTCCAAGCCAAGCTGATTAAGAGCTTCTAAGTTCTCGGACATGCTCCCGTAGACCGTAGCGGTAACTCGGCAGCCCCGTTAGATGTGTCAACATCAAACGGAACCCCCAACCTTGGCGCGACATCCGCCGCAGTACGTACCCTTACCATCTTGCCGGTCATCCCCGCAAAGTACAGTAGATATAAGCGTGGGGGTGTCATAAGATAAACTCTTGGAAACTTGCTCTACTCGCCTGCCTGAAGCGGATGTGATGCACTGGGCCTGTAACTATAGAGTAGATAACGTAATGCCGCATCCTTGTAGCTGGCTGTATGGAGATGGGGCGCTGAGGTGTCTTTTTGAAACTACATACTCTAGATGGGCGGGGCGGGGGGTCCCGATCATTTGGCGCGGTAGTGGTGTATGTGTGGGGAAAGGGGGGGGAAACTGAAGGGGTGGTTACGATTGCGTTACGTTGATGCGATTTCGCGGAGCGAGTGAGATCTTGTGATCTCCAACTCCTCTGGGGGTGGGTCGAGATACAAGGGTGTGTGGAGGCGAGAAGATATTCCTGCATAGCTAAAATACATGTATGAATGGGTATTGTTATATGGTTTACCAAAAACAATGCTATACGCCATTATTTTTGAAAGTAGTGGTTGCTCTTGTAATCTCGCTTCAAACCTACATACAGTAGCTGCAGCCTCAGCATTGCCTCTGGCTCCTACTAGTAGTAGACGCAATGGTCCTTTATTAGTCGCTGTTGGCGTATTCTGCGAGCTAGTTCAAGCTAAGACCTACATGTACGTACATGTATGTCGAGACCTGGGTCGTAATGTGCAGGGTTGGGATCGACTCGCTCGTTAAAGCTCGGGCGGGGGCCTTTTGGGTCACCAAGATGGCATAGAAGCCTGTTATTTATGGCATGAAATGAAATAATCATTTCCATTGCTGAAAACCAGTGCCAAGACGAGTAGGCTCAATCCGAGCAAAATTTCAGACTCGGGCCTATAAGGGCTTGAGACTAAATCCCGAGCCGAAGCTCGGTTCGGCTTATCTCGTGAGCCCGGCCCCGACCCCCAGCCTCGGCCTCGGCCCGACTCCGACTCTGACATGACGTTGGAATGGCCAACCTTTGGCGTAATCCCCGAGTCATATGGTGTCTACATGTAGTACCTAGAGCTTGACGGTTATGGTAGGCCAGGAGTCACCCAATATAACTATATAAGTCTGACGTCACAGGCACATAGTATGCTATTACAGCAGTCTGGTTCGTACGGCTTCAGGATGATATGGTCAGCCCCCTGTGGAATCTTTTTCTTCAACTCTGTTATGAGCAGGGCAGCTTCGGTATCTGCTCAATAGTCCGATGGTATAGTGGAACAGTGAGCTCGGACATGGAGAGCTTATTGCGTTATAAGCTCGAGCTGAAGAACTAGACTTTTGTAACCAGGTGTTCTTAGGATAGAGACGGTAGCGCTTCTGTGCTGCCTTTTAAGCCATCGAAACGCTGTGTGCAGGTTATGCACATAGATGTTGTAACACGATCCAGTGGTTCATGGCTGGATTTGATAATGTAGGTATATCTGTTAGTTTCTCACTCAGACTCTATAAAACGAGGCCGCGGCACCGACTGAATACAAGCATCATCACTCCTTCATACTCATATCTGAGCAGGGCCTCTGATAGCGAGATCCCGATCACGAAAAGCCTGAAAATGCCCGTCTTGGAAAACCTTGTGTGGAGTCAAGCTCACACAATCTCTGTGACCTAAAACCAATTTGAGTCGACAAGGCTAGACGGCGAGTTTAGTACCAGGTCTTGAGCTGTTTACATCCTAGAGCCATCGGTTGGGAATCAGTCTCCTATGCTCTTTTGTATAGGGAAGCAAGAACCGGAATTCTCCCCGTAGGAAATCCAGTAAGTTCGTAAAGTGTCAGGACCCTAACTAAGACTAACTTATTAATCTAGCTATGGTACGTTGCACTAACATAGCCACTTGTCTTATGGCAGAGTGTTTGTTTTTCCTTTAAAACAGGTTGAGTTTTGTTGTCCGGAGAGGTCTAAGAGAATCTAGAGACCAAGGTCCCATCATATCTTCCTTTTTTCTCCTTTTCTCTTTTTTCTCTTTTCTCTCTCTTCTCTCTCTCTCTTTTTTTTTTTTTTTTTTTTTTTGACGATTAATGCTTAACTTAGGCAAGCTTAATCTAGAATTTTCCTTTTATGCTTTGTGGCCCTGTATCTGGGGCGTTGTGTTTGTTGCCATGTGAACGGAAAGAGTGAATGCGAGCTGCAGCGGTTGGCGTTGATGATAGACCGTGGGGTGAATTGAGATGATCATGAGTTGATGATGATGATGAGGGCAAGAGAAGAGAGTTGGTAGATGGGGAAAATATAGGACTTTTATCTGCCCGGGACCACATACATACACATACATACACCCACCGTAATCCCGCCGGCACCACCAGGACGGACGCATCACACCCCATCACTCGCCCTTATCGCGATAACCCCACCCATAGTTACCACCAGCAGTTACCCTGCCATCCCTCCCCCCAATCAACCAACCGCCTCATCCGCACCCGCACCTACCAATTCCGCACCCCCCGATACCATACATACATACAAACACACACCACACACGCAGCCATGTCAACCCCCTACTTCTGGAACCAGCCGCTGCGCTACATGCGCTACGCCTCGCACACCAGCCCCGCCCTCTTCTGGTCCGTCATCCTTGGCGCCGCGGGCCCCGTCGTGTTCCTTGCGAGTATCCCGTTGAAGCGCAAGTTGGGCATTGCGGATAAGGAGATGGTGCCGCAGACGTATCCTAGTAGGTTTCTTCTTTCCCGGGGAGAGAAGGGGGGTTACGGGAGGTGGGGGGATAGTGGAAGAGGGGGTGGGGGTGGGAGAGGAGAGGGCTAACAGGGTGGGGGTGGTGTAGTTCCGAATCGCGCTAGAAAGATACCGGCGGGCTTTGATGATGAGTAGGAGGAGGGGTTGGATTGAGTGGGGATTGTGGGGGTTGTAATGGAGAGAGTGAGGGAGGAGGGAGGGGATGCGTTACTGTATATTGTGAGAGCCGGCGATGGAGATGGAGAATAGATGGACCTATGGATGGGCCTACCTCTACCTACCTACCTACTGATTGTCGTTGCAATTGCTCCTCCAGACACCGCGGATCACTCGGTGCTGTCTCAGATCGCTGAGCTGTGCTGCTTATGTGAACATCCGGTAGCTAGCTCCGGACTATCACGTACCCAGAGATATTGTGCCTTAAAGACCGTGGTTGTAAAGACATCAATGACATTTTATGTGGTCCCATAACTATGTCCCAGATCGATAAGATACATACAAAGCATGCCATCATCGCACATCGCACATCGCACATCCCATCCCATCCCATCCCCCGCCACCGTCGGTATATATAGCCCCGAAGCGTAGAAATACAAACCTCCATCCTTCCTTCCCTTAACCTCCATCGCAGCAAAAAAAAAAAAAAAAAATACAGATATGTAGGTATATATATATATCCACAGCAATTGCAAGCAAGCAAAGCAAATAATAATAATAAAGAAAAGAAAAAAAAAAAGAAAGAAAAAAAACAGAATGATATCGTGCACCACAACCAGAAAAAAAAAACAAAATAATAATAGAAATAGAAATAGAAAAAGAAAAAGAAAGAAAATGATTATGGATATCTCTGTTTTTTTGTCTGGTCCCCCCCCCCCCCCCTTCCCTTCCCCAAACCTCAACCCGGTTTCTTGACGTACTGCCCGAAAGAACTCCGCCCCGGTGGGCGGACAGATTAGTGGGGGGGGGGGGGGGGCTGCCACAACGAACACAGACGCAACAGTGGGTAATAATAGCAGAAAGAAAAAAGAAGAAACAGAACAGAACAGAATAAAGGTACCGATATAATATCAGACATGGCCCTAAAAAGCTACAAAGGATATGGCAACGTCTCCCCCCCCCCCCAAACCGCACCGCACCAAACCAAACCAATCAAATCAAATCAAAGAAAAAAAACCCATCCCAACACCAATAAGTAAAAAGTAACCCCAAAAACAAAAACACCCCCCCTCCCCTCCACCTCCCCAAACCATACCACACACCACACTACGTCGGCGGCGGCCCACCCGCCAAACACTCCTCATCCACCCCCAACAACGGCGCCACATACTCCGCCAGCCTCTCCACGGCCCTCCTCAGCCCGCCAGGCGCCTCATACCGATACTGGTCATTGCGGCAGCTCATATAGCACGAATCATACCAGTTTGGCCGGTGCGTATACACGCCCAATCCTTCCTCCCACCCCCGCTGGTGCACCTTGAGACGCGCGTACATGTACACGTTGAACATTGTTAGGCTCACGAGACCGCTGATCAGGATGAAGGAGAGGATGCTCCAGGCTGCGGATGGCCGCGGGCCGGCGCGGAGAAGGTCGGCGGAGCGGCCTAGTGGGATGCGGCGCGCGTGCGGGCGACGGATGCGTAGGCCGGTCATGGGGTCGACGAGGTAGGTGGGTGTTTGGGGCTCGGCAGCGGCAGCGGGGCCGTCTCCAGCGGCGGCGGGGACAGGGCCGTCTCCGGCAGCGGCAGGAACGGGGGCTGGGGCTGGGGCTGGACCGTCTGGTGGGACGGCGACGGTAGGGAACTCGTCGAGGCCGATCATGCCGTTATTCTTCATCACCAGCATGATATTATCGTTGCTCGCCAGCGCCTGATAGTCCGCCCAATCCATCGACCTCAATATATGCCACAACATCCTCCACGGCCACGCCAGCACGCCCAGCGGGCTCTGATACGGCACCAACGTCTCCAGTCTATCCTCCCTCGGCCACTCTGCCTGCCTCACCGCGCGCCGCGACGCCCGCTCCACCCGCCCCGCCAGCAGCCAGATCGTCTTCAGCAGCACGTTCTCCGGCGGGTTAAACTGGCTCTCGACGAACCGCGCCACCTCGTGCGCCTCGTCGATCGTCAGCCGCGCCTGCTCGTTCAGCTGCTGCAGCCGCACCCGCGTCTCGAGCGTCGTGCAGATGCGCTCCACGTACTCGCCGTCCGGAGCGGGGATGCGGAATTTGCCAATGTAGGCGCCGTCGCCCATGGCTGCGGCGCGCTCGCGGCCCGCCATGAAGGCGCGGCGACGCGGGTCGCGCTCGCCGGCTTGGCCGGGGGCGGCGCGGTCCGCGGGAGTGCGCATGTAGGCGCCGAAGTAGTATTGGCGGTAGGCTTCGTAGTTGCGGCCGGCGGCGCCGCGCGGGATGCGTTGGTCGACGGTGAGGTAGTTGCCGTAGTAGTACTGCATGTAGTCGGCGTAGGGCTCGTTCTGGCCGCGGTCGCCGGGAGGGAAGAGTTGTGGGTCGCGCGGGAGGGCGCCGGCGACGACGGGGGCACGGCCGGCTGGGATTCCCATGCCGTAGTCGTGCGGGTGCGGCCATTGGGAGCGCGGAATGTCGCGGAATGAACGGCGTTTGGCTCGGCGGTTGCGGGCTTCGTCTGATGAGACGCCGCTGGAATAATCCCCACCGCCGCCACCTCCACCACCACCACCACCTCCTCCTCCTCCACCGTCACCGTCACCTCCACCTCCGCCAGCATCTCCACCTCCACCAGCATCACCATCACCGCCTGGAGCTGGAGCCGGGACTGGGACTGGGGCCGGGACTGGGGCCGGGATTGGAGCCGGAACTAAGGCCGGGGCTGGTGGCGGAGCTGGAACGCCCGCACCACCTCCTCCTCCACCACCACCTCCTCCACCAGCATCACCGCCAGCATCTCCTCCGCCAGCAACACCCGGCGCTCCATGCCCCGCCCATCCTCCCCTAAGATTCCCACTAACCAGACTCGGCGCCGGATCCGTCTGCGACGCGCTATCCACGCTGTTCGGCGACCCGCCTGACGACCTCGCCTTACTCTCCGGCGTCGGTGCCCGTGATGGCGGCAGTGCCGTTTCCGACGGCGTTGGTGGTGGTGCTTCGACGGCTGTTTTGCCTCCATCCCCAGTTTCGGTTTCGGTTTCTAGCTCCTGTTCATCGTCCTCTTCTAGGTATTCCTCCTCCTCCTCCTCCTCCTCCTCCTCCTCATCCTCTTCCTCTACAAAGTCCACATCCTCATCCTCCGAGAACCTCACATCACCACCTTCACTCGACCCGCTCAGCTCACCCAGATCCTCCGGCTCCGACAGCCTCTCATCGTCCTTCCCTATTGGCGGCAGCGGCGTCAGCAGCGCCGGATACTCATCTGCCAGGTCCGAGATCAGCTGCGCGAACGGGTAGTCGCGCGCCATGTCGAGCACAAGCTCACGGTACGGATAGTCCTTCGCCATCTCCTTGACCGCCTCGAGCCTCAGCAGCCTCGTCTGCGTCACGCCGTCCTGTCCCGCCGCTGCACCCCCCAACGCTTCCAGCAGCGTCCTCTCGCCGCCCGACGTCTCTTGTGTCGGCGTTGTCACGTCGTCGCGGAGCTTCCCGAGCTGCTGCTGCTCCTGGAGCCCGGAGTCTTCCTCTTCGGAGACGGCTTTGTCTGTTGTTTTAGCTTCTTGTTCTTCTTCTTCTTGTTCGTCTTCGTTTTCTTCTTCTTTATCACCACTGTTCTCGGGGGGCGCCGGTGGCGGCACATAGCCCTCCCAGTCCTTTTCGCGGAAGCCGTGCGGGTACTCACCGATTGTTGTATCATAGCCCACACTCCCCAAGCTGCCAAAGCGTCCACCGCCACTGCCACTGCCATTCCCATCGCTCACCGACGGCTCCGAACTGTACCCCCACCGGTTCTCGTCATCGCTCGGCCCATCCAGCTTCACGCCGCCCAGCATCTTGCCCAGCGATGTCCGCGTGCGCCGGAACGTGCCCTTACTCGGCGACATGCCCGGGGTCAGGTGCTCCACGTCGGCCTTGCAGGCTGCCAGCTCCGTGTTCAGCACGCTGATCTGCTCCGCGGACGCCGCGAGCGCGGTCTTGACGCCGCGGATGACCTCGTCGCGCTGCTCGACCGCCTCCTTGAGGCTATTAATCCTTGCCACATATTTCGCCGCCTCGTCCTTATTCCTCTCCAGCACGCGCAGCGAGTCGAGCCCATCCTCCTCCACGCGCCCAAGGTGCTTCTGCAACCTCGCCATCTTCTCCCCCACCCTCCCCCTCTCCGCGCGCTCCCGCTCCACCGCACGAACAGCGTCATCCCGCTCCTCACACACCCGCTCCATGTCCTTCTCAAGCGCCACATACAGCGCCTCCACCCGTCCCAGGTCCCGGATCAGCACAGCGTTATGCTCATACACCACCCCGACCGCGCCTTCCGCCTCCTCGCACCGCCGCACAAGCTCCCCCATCCGCCCCTCCTCGTACTCAGCGCTCTCCACCCCGCGCCGCTCAAGCGCCTCCATCTGCACACGCAGCTCCCCCAGCTCGCGCCCCCGCGCCTCGGCGAGCGCCCATGCATACCGGAAGTCCGTCAGCACGGTCATGACCTCGAGCGCCGTCAGCGCCTGCAGACTCTCGATCGTCGTCGGCGTCTCAAGCGAGAGAAGGTTCGGCCGGAACAGCGCGAGCTCCATGTCTACTTCGAATGGTGCGAGCCCCGTGAGGCTGCGCCTGCGGCGTGAGCGGCTGCCGCTGGAGCCGCCGCGCGACCGGCCGCGCGAGGCGGGCCGGGAGGAGGGACGGTCGTCGCCCGCGGGGCGGAGCGGCGCCATTCGTGGCGGGCCTGGGAAGATGCTCCGTTCTGTGGGTCCGCCGCCGCGGGAGAGGGGGCGCGGGGAGCCGGAGCGGAGGGTTGGGTTTGTGCCGGGGCGGTTGGGGCTTGAGAAGCGGCGGGGCGTGGTGACGCCGGGGAGGGAGCGGCGGTTGGGGGTTGTGGCTGCGGCTGCGGCGGCGGCGCCGAGGGGGGTGGAGGTGTTGAGTGGGCTGGAGAGAATGCCGGTTGTGTCGTCGGCGTCGTTGTAGATGTAGCTGCGCGGGGAGGGGGGCACGGGGCCCACGAGCGCGTGCCAGAGGGAGGTGCCGGAGGCGTCTTCGTGGAAGCAGGGGGAGAGGGGGGGCGAGCCGGCGCTGAACGGCGGGCCGTCGCGGGAGATCATGGTGGGGGAGCCGGTGGCTTCGAAGACTTCTTCTTCTTCTTCTTCCCCGGTGCGCTGGTGCTCCATGAGCTCGAGGATGCCCTGGTCCTTGTTGATGTCGTCGAAGGCGCGGATGAACTCGTCTTCGGTGAGGAGGAGGTCGGGCGCTTTGTCGATTGTCTGGTGGATGGTGGCCTCTGAGGTTTGTTGGAGGATGCCGTATTTGGGGCAGCCCGGGAGGGAGGCTTCGATGGAACGGATGAGGGGGATGAAGTCGCGGATGGAGATCTGGTCATGGGTTAGCACTCGTGCTGGTTTTGCGGGGGGGGGGGGGGGGCGTACACTCCCGGTGTTGTTGGGGTCGTAGCGCTTGAAGATTGCGGAGAACATCGCCATGGCGCTCCAATTGCTCTTCTGGTCTTTGCTGGATGTGTTTCTTATTCTTCTTCTAGCCTCCTCCTCACTGCTCTCGCTGCTGCTCCCTGCTTCCACGTCCTTCTCGCGCGCTGTCTCTTTCTCTTTCTTCCTCTTGCGCTCCCGATCCCTGATGCGCGTGCGGCCCCTGTCTCTCTCTCGATCCGGCGACCCGCTGCTTCCTCCTCCAGACACAAACCCGTTTCGCGGCAGCCGCGAGGGCGGCGAGGGACGTGGGGAGAGGATGTAGCCGTTGAAGCTGGGGTTGGTGCCGAGGCCGGTGCCGTGCGTTTCGTCGCTGCGCCGCTGGTGGTAGAGGTTGTGCGTTTTGAGCGGCGTGAGAGTGTGCGATGCCGTGCGGCGCGAGGGCGAGGGCGAGAGGGGGGGTTTTGTGGTGTCGGGGGGAGAGGGAGTGTTAGGCCCTGTGGGCGGTGTGGGGGTGGGGGGGACATTGTGGTGGTGGGGGAGGGTGAGGGTTCTTTGTTGGATAAAGGATTGTGGGCTTTGTTTGTGGTGGTGGTGGTGGTGGTGGTGGTGGTGGTGAGAGGTGGGAGAAGGTGGTGGTGGAGTGTGGTGTGGAGGAGGTGTGTGGTGTGTGTGGTGGAGGAGTGTGAGAGTTAGATCTATAGAGAGTGGGTGAGAGTGAGAGAGTGAGAGTGAGAGAGAGTGAGTGAGAGTGAGAGTGAGAGAGAGTGTGTGAGTGTGGATGTTGTAGAAGAGTGTCGATGTGTCGATGCTCGATGCTCGATGGATGTTGAGCTATTCCAGCGTGAAACGACCTAAACTCTACGCCCACCCCCCATTTCAGCACACCTCCTCTCGCAGCACAAAGCCATTACCCTCGCCGCAAAAACAAGACAAGGGGGACAAACAATCGCCGTGTTTCTTTGAACCTCGCCTCAAGCCAGCTCTACTCCACCAATCGCAGCACGTCTATTGTCCCTCTAATCACCTCCCCTTGTTCTCTTCTTCCTGTCGCTGTTCCAATTCCAATTCCAATTCCAATTCCTGTTTCCGTCGGCCGACCAGTCGCGCACACATCGTCGGGGGTGGTGCGGGGCGTGTGCGTGTGTCGATCGAGGATGGGGGAATTTAATGAAAGTTGCGTTGGGATGGGACGACGTGTTTGCGCGAGCTGGCTGGGGCTCTGCGGAGGTACGGCGCGGTGGTGGAAACCTAACCCTGGCATTGCACTGGGGATCTTATCTTATCGAGGGGGATCGAGGTGCTGTTGGGAGGGAGGGAGGGAGTGACGGAGGGAGGGAGTAACGGAGGGAGGGAGTGACGGAGGGAGGAGAGGGCGCTGGGGAGAGCTGGGGAGTGATGGGTGGGATGTGTGGTTTTTCAATCTGTTTTTCTTCTGCTGGTGGGCTGTGGATTGGAAGTCGTCCACTTTAACCCGTGAGATGAGCTTTTAATTCGTGGGGCCGTGAGCGAGGTTTTCAAATTACTTCTTTGAACAGCCTCACGTGTGCAGCTTTTGTTTTTTGGTCAGTAGACTCCACGATATCACCATGGCCAGAGAGAGCTTTACTACTGCTTTGGACGGCAGCTGTCTGTCAGTCTGTCTCTAATCAGAGAAAGACCCTCTGAATTAATGACATTGAACAGAGTAGAGTAGGATTGCCACCACTGCATATCCCTATCCGTGCCCGTCTAAGAATAAGCAGCACGGGCAGTAACACAAAGTACACACACAGCAGTACCCCCCATCCCTGCCCTGCCCGCCCCGGCATAGTTGACTGTCTGGATGACTAAGCGATGAGCCGAGTCAGCTCTCGACTCGTCCGTCCGTCTGCTTACTTGCTCTACTTACTCCCGGAGAAACACCTACCTACATCATCCACCACCACCACAAGAAGGACGAGAGACACCGACAGGACCGTCGAATCGACTCGAAATACTGAGTATCTCCTAGCTGTTGCTGACTGCTGCTGCTGCTGAGGCCGGTGGTGTGCATTGCGTTCGTTCACTTAGTTGCAGAGCAGAGCAGAGCAGAGCAGAGGGCAGCTTGAACCTCTCTGTCTAGATCTACCTACAGAGGATAATCCCCGAGAGTCTTGAGCGAGTGAGGGACTGCTACACTGCATTACATTATCCTACACTACACTATACACTACACTGCGTAGCTATACATACACATCATACATTATACATACAGACATACAGATAGATACCGGAGCGGAGCAGCGTTCATCGGACCTCTGCTGTTTCACAGGATAGGGTGCTTGGGGCTCTCTCCCGCTTCAACTACACCACAGCACTTTGACCAACCGGGGAACGAACCCTCACTCTCCACAACAGCACACCATCCAAAACTGTGACCTGAACCACCACCATCCCCGAGCCCCAGCTCACCACCACACACCACAATGCTAACCTCCCTCCTCGCCAAGGCCAGCTCCCTCCTCAGCGAGCCCCCCACGCCGCCCCCCTCCTCCCGTCCCACAAAGACCGTCCTCTTCCGCACGCACTTCCGCCTCCCAGACACCCAATCACCGCTGCAGGAGATCACCTGCGAGCTCACGCTCCCCTCGGGCGAGCACTACACCGGGAAGCTCTACCTCTCCGAGTCCTTCCTCTGCTTCTCCCCCAACCCGCCCACCGCCACCTCCGCCGCCGCCGCAACCGCCGGCGTCGGCTTCACGCTGCCGCTGTGCGCCGTGCGCCGCGTCGAGCGACTGCATAGTCGCAGCTACATGTTTGCGCTTGCCATCACCACGTGGCATGGTGTTGGTGCCGGGGCGGGGGCGGCGGGGGGGAAGGAGGAGAGGATCACGCTGCAGTTTGTGGGTATGCGGAATGCGTGTGAGGCGTTCTGTGACCGGCTGAAGAAGGGGCTGCGGGCGCAGATGGCGGAGGTGAGGAATCTGAGGACGCTGGTGGAGAGCTGCTATAGTGAGTTTTTGCTGGGGGAGGGGAGGGGCGGCGGCGGGGAGGAGGGGGGGTTGGGCGAGGGGGGGAAGAGGAGGGAGAGGGTGGTGCCCGATGCGGGGTTGGGGCTGCTGTTCAAGTATCCCGGGGATGCGAGGAAGTTGAGGGATAAGAGTAAGATGAGGCTGTGGGCGGAGTATCTTAGAGGTGTGTATTATTGTGGTGGTGGTGGTGTGGGGTGTGTGTGGGGGAGGGATTGTGGCTGACTTGGGGGTGCAGAGAATGGTAGGAATGTCACGCTGGTAAGACAGCCGACGTTTCATAAGTTGATACGTGTGGGGCTTCCGAATGTGCGTATATTTCCCCCCAACTCTACAGCTTGAAGCATTCGCTGATAGTCCTTTCACAGCGGCTGCGGGGCGAGATGTGGGAGCTGTCGTCGGGGTCGATCTACCTCCGCCTGTTTTCACCAACACTGTACACCGACATCCTCGCCGAGTACGAGGGCCGGCATTCCCACAGCATCGAGGAGATCGAGAAGGACCTCAACCGGTCGCTCCCGGAGTACCGCGGCTTCCAGAACGACGAGGGTATCGGCAGGCTGCGGCGGGTGCTTGGGGCGTACAGCTGGCGGAACGAGGAGGTGGGCTACTGCCAGGCTATGAACATTGTCACGGCCGCGCTGTTGATGTAGGGTTCCCCATCCCTCCCAGTGCAATGATCGGTTTTGCAGGAAAGTTGTGTGAGTGGCTAAGACTAAACGCCGGGAACAGATATATGTCGGAGGCACAGGCGTTTTTCCTCCTCTCGACACTGTGCGACCGATTGGTGCCGGGGTACTACAGCAAGACCATGTACGGCACCCTCCTCGACCAGCGCGTGTTCGAATCCCTCGTCGAAAAGACCATGCCCATCCTCTGGGAGCACCTCGTCAAATCCGACGTGCAGCTCTCCGTCGTCTCCCTCCCCTGGTTCCTCTCCCTCTACATCAACTCCATGCCGCTCGTCTTCGCCTTCCGCGTCCTCGACGTCTTCTTCCTCGAGGGCCCCAAAGTCCTCTTCCAAATCGGCCTCGCCATCCTACGCATCAACGGCGAAGAGCTCCTCGACGCCACCGACGACGGCGCCTTCATCTCAATCCTCAAGGGCTACTTTGGCCGCCTCGACGAAAGCGCACACCCCCGCAGCGACAACGAAAAGCTCCGCGCCGTCACGCGCTTCCAGGAGCTCATGGTCGTCGCCTTCAAGGAGTTTGCGGGAATCACGCAATCAACAATCATGGAGCAGCGCGCCCGCCACAAGGACGCGGTCCTCTCGTCAATCGAGTCCTTTGCAAAACGCACACAGCTGCGCAACCTCGGGCCAGAGTCGAAGCGCCTCACGCCGCCGGAGCTCAGCGTCGTCTACGACCGCTACTACGGCGTGCTGTATGAGCGCCAAGCACGGCTGCAGAACATTGCCGAGGAGCTCGAGAAGATTGCGGCCGCGCGAAAGAGCTCGTCGGCTGGGCTGCCGGGTGCCGGTGGCGCCGGCGCGGGGAATGGAGAGCGTGGGCGAGTGGGGCTGGGGCCGACGCCGGGCGAGACGGGAATGGACTATGACTGCTTCCGCGAGTTCATGACGGGGATCGCGCCGTGGGCGGTTGCAACGCCGCATAGCAGTGCAGCGTCGCCGGCGGCGGGGGCGGTGGCGGAGGGAGGAGGAGGGTTCTTTGGGTATGGGATTACGACGAGCGCGGCTGCTGCGGCGGCGGCGAGGAAGAACCTGTTGAACCCGTGGGGGGCGGGGAATCCGGAGCCTGCGGATCATGATTTTTTGAAGCGGCTGTTTAGGCGGTGGGACACGGGGATGCGCGGGCAGTTGACGCTGGCGAATGTGGTGACGGGGCTGGCCAGTGTGGTGGGAGGGAAGAGGGATATCATGGGCATGATTAATTACTGGTTTGAGCTGTATGATGATGATGGGGATGGGAAGGTTGACCGCGAGGGGATCCTGAGGATCACGGAGGCGCTGCTGTTCGTCACACGGCGCGGGTACGGCGGGCGCGGTGATGAGTTTGGCGGTGGTGGTGGCAGCAGCGAGGCGGACGGTGAGTTCGATGAAGGCCGCGTCTTGAGCGCCGTCAGCGGCTTCACGCGCATGTGCTTCGAGTACGCCGACCCCGACCGCCCACAGCGCGACCACCACCACCACAACTCCTCAAAGCCGCGCACCTTCAACGAGAAGCTCGCCCCCCCAGACACCTCCGAAGAAGAAGAAGAAGAAGACCTCCTCGGCCCCCTCGACCCAGCAGACATCGACCGGCCCCCGCCCACACCCAGCGAAAAGGCAAACCTCGCCCTCGACCCCAGCAACCCACTGCACATCACGCTCCCCACCTTCCGCATGGTCGTCCTCGCAGACGAGGTCCTCGAGCGCTTCTTCGAGCGCGCATTCGCAGAGACATTCACGCTCCTCCGCCACGACGGCAGCGCGCCAGTCCTGCAGCCCACCACGGCCGGCCCGAACCAGCGGCCTGGCATCGCCGTGCAGACCACGGCGGCGGCGAGGGTGCTGCCGGTGCTGCCGGCGTCGCCGGCGATTGTGACGGGGACGGCGAAGGGGCTGAGGGGCGTGCTGGATAATATGGTGAATGATAGTATACATAGGGTGACGACGGAGCTGAAGAAGAGGATGGAGGATATGGGGGCGGGCGGTGAGGAGGAGGAGGAGGAGGTGGGGGGCGCGGCGGATGCGAAGAGTGTGGTGGAGATGGATAGGGATTTGTTGAAGGGGGCGGAGGCGGAGGTGGGGGGTGAGAAGGAGGGGGGGAGGAGATAGAGGAGGGGAAGGAGGGGGGGGAGGCGGGGGGGTTGGTGGTGGGGAAGAGGGGGGGGTTGGGGTTGCCGGTGCAGGGGGAGGGGGAGGGGGCGGGGGGAGGAGGAGTGTTAGTGAGGGGAGGACTGTGGAGTTTGAGAGTTAGCTGCGGGTGTGGGAGGTGTATATTTAGTTTTTCTCTTTAGTGTTTCTTTTTTCATAGTTATATTTTTTTTTTGTTTCTTTTATTGGTGGATTTTTTTCTCTTCTCTTTTCTTTTCTCTCTAACTTTTCTCTCGTTCTTTGCAAACAATGACTACCGGTGTGCTTCTTGAATTTCCCTGTCCTCTGTCCTGTTGTGTGTTGTGCTGTGCGTTTGAGTTTATGGTCGTCGATTGCTTGCAAGTTGCTAGCTGTTAGTACGGTACGTAGTGTAGTAATGTGAATGCGGTCGAATGCGAATGCGAATGCGAATGGGACCTAGTAATTACGGTATGGTATGGGATGGTTTGGTTGAGGGGGTAGAGGTGTGGGGTATGGGGGTATGGGGTGTGGGGTGTGGGGTATAGCGGTAGGGGGGCATGTAGGGTAGGTATTGGGTATGGGGGTAGGTATGTAGGGTAGGCAGGGTAGGTAGGGTACGCAATGAAACCGAAAGCAGAGCTACAAGAGAGAAAAAGTATCCATGTTATCACGTAGCTAGCTAGCTAGCTGTAGGATCAGATAAGAATTGGTTTTTTTGGAACACGGGGTGGTGTGCAGGTGGTCCCGTTAACCAGTACAGAATGTCAATTAATCTGAAGGAAGATCTAGAAGAAGGACTGGAGTGAGTGCTAGTACTACGAAGTATTGGAACGGTGCAATCAATGAGGTGTTACTTCACTGTAGGCGCTTTCACGAGCTAGCTAGGTTTGGGGGGGGGGGGGGTACGTATAGCTAGTTAATCTCAAATATGTATACGCCGGAGTGACAGAGGCCTATTTTTATTTTTTTTTCTCTTCTTTTTTTTGGGGGGGAGGGCCGGAATCACACACACATCCAGTGCTGGCCCTGACCCGAGGACTTTACATCTTTGCTAGTAACGAACCTCTTATCCTCTGATTAGGAGGGAGGCCGGGGGGGGGGGGGGGGGGAAGCTAGTGGGGAGATGATATCCTGACCCATAAATGCAGGAGCCCGGATATCCGGGAAGACATACCATGCATCACAGCACTCTATGTCTAGATCTAAATTCCAAAATCTACATGTGAGTTATTCAGCTCCCGTAACTGGATCCGGGAGCGTACAGATCCCCACCCCACTCCAGAAGATCTGCCAAGAGATTTGTATATATATATGTACAATGTACCCTACTCGTGATCACGGGAGATAAGGTAGAGTACATGTACCCCCTATGTAGCTCGATGTTCCCGGATACGAGTGAGATACTGTGATTGCTATAACGTAGATCGCTTCCTGGTGGGTTATGGATTTATGGGGCGTGTGTGGTGTCAATGATCAAAAAGGGCATTCTCCCGTTCTACCACCTAGCTTATTATACATACCTTCCAGATGTAGCTACGGCGTGATAATTACCTAAGCGCGTAAACACGCCATGCGTCCTCGCGCGAATTTACGTCATGGTGTATCACTCGATATCTATGAGGTCAGCAAACTGGCGGATACCCGTTTTTTTTTTTTTCTCGTATACGTTTTTAAAAACCGTCTAAACGTGTCATATCGACACCTGTCACTACGATGCTGATACTTGCCCAATCCGCGACTGTATATATATATATATATATATCGCTCATTAGGCTCTTTGTCGATAACTGAATCGTGCAACTCACTTAACTCTACCTTTACAACACTTTGGCGGGGTCATGATCGACTGTTACTTTTTCCCTTTCCCCTCCCAACTCAAGCGTTTACTCGGTTTCTGTCAATCGACCTTATCCTACCCATTCAGGAATACTTTTACTTAACTTCCCCCGCTCTAGGCAGCACACAACCCTGAGATGTGCATACATCCAAAGCGCCGGGGCTGATATCCTCACTGAGCACCTAACTTGTCAGGTGTTCACGATAGCTACATGTATATAGCAGCCACAGGCTCAGTCAGCGCATGCGGGAACAGTCATCGCCGGCGACAGAAAAGGAAATATACCAATCCAACCAATCAAGACACACTTTTTCTGCTGCGGCCAGACGCACCGAATTTCGCGAACAGAACCACACCTAGCTAGGCAACCACACCCATCTGGCCCCAACCCAGCCCTCTGCACCACCAACCCTATCCCTAGTGCAACCAGCAGCTAGCAGTAGCACCTGGACAATGTTAACCACAACCACAACCACAACCACTCCGGCCTGAGGATCCCCCCCTCCACCACCTCCCCGCACTGATTAGATGCCCAGCACTCAGGCAAAACAAGACGAGTCAGCACCCCTCATCTAACCCCCAAAACCGAAGTTACACACTGATGACTACGTAATTTCAGATCTCGAAGACATCGTGAACGACACGTCCGTCACAGAGTATCACTCGCCACCAATCCAACCCCAACCCGCCGTTATCAGACCGCACCGCACGGACTGGCACATCGTGTGTATTGCGTCGCATGAATACATGTGTCATTTCCAGGCCATGATCGATATCTACATACACCTCTCCACAACCAATGCTATCTCTACCCTGAAGCCCCCGTGATGAACCGCAAAGATAAGAAAGAGGGAAAGGAAAAGAATAAAAAAGAAACCTCCAGGGTATAATCAATCCCGCCAAAGAGAAAAAAAAGGAAGAAAAAAACACCCAACCAGAAAACCAAAAAGAAACAACCAGAAACCAAACAAGAACTGGGGGAGGCGAAGAAAAAAACGGTTTATAATATATCGAGCAAAAAAAAGTAAAAAAAAGCGACTGGTAGATATGGATGAATGATTGCCAGACCAAAAAAGAACAGACAAAAACAGCAGCCCATTGAATAAACACAAAAAGCAAAAAAATAGAAACAATAAAACTCCGTTTTTTTTTTTTAACCCCCCTTCCCTGCTCCCCCCGGTTCCCGCGCGCGTGGTTCCCGCAAAACGAACTTTTTTTTTGTTATAGCTTTTTTCCGGATTTTTCCCCCCGCCCAAAAAATGCCATGCCATGCCAATGCCAATGATCATATGAATGCACCCAACCAATTTTCCCTATATTTTTCCCCCCCCTTCATCGATCTCTGCCCACCCCCCCCCCCCACCTTCCTTCCCCCATGAGTTTTTTTTTTCTTCCCCCGTCGTCAGACCTGACCAAACAGAAATGAAATTTTGTGGAACGAGCGTGAAAGGAGAAAGAAATTCCAAAAAAGACTATATATATGTAGAGAGATATATGGCGATCTGCAAAAAAAAAAAAAAAAGGATCCAGCGGGCTATGAAAAAGAGTTGAGGGTAGGACAGGACAGGAAAACGAAGGAAAGGAGATGATGAAGCCGATGTATATAGTAAAGTAGTAGGGCTAGCTAGACTCGCCTCGACTCAATCTTAGTTGGGGAAACAAAAAACAATCAAAAACGATAGATACTCCCAACACACGCTGGTTGCAAAATGGCACCAACAATAACCAATAACCACAAACCATAAACCATAAACCACAAACCATGTCCAAGCCGAAACAAAAGAAGAGGGGAGAAAGAAAAAAAAAAGAGAAAAAACGCCGCAGAGGAAAAGAGAAAATAGAAAAAAAAGCACCGTCACAAACACCTAGAACACCACTTCACCAAAGTCCGTTTCCTCACCCCACCCCATCCTACCCAACCTACCCACCATACCGCACCCCAAATTCTGCCAACCCCTCATCCTCATCTTCCTCCTCCTGCGCCCCCTGCCCCTGCGGCGCACCATTGCGCCCCCCCCGCCCGCGCCCGCCCTGCCCGCCGCCGCCCACGGCGTTCTTCCGCCGCTCCACAATCATCTTACTCAGCCCATCGAGGCTCTTCCCGCCGCGGACCTCCTCAACCTCCTCCACCGCGCGCCACGCCTCCAAGCCCGAGCTGATACGCTTCGTGATCTCCTCGATGATGACCTTCCTCCTGCTGTAGAACTTTCGCTCCGCCTGCGACGTGCGCCATTTGGGCCCGTAGCGGGCCTCGAGGCTCTCGACGGAGGGCTCGGTGCCGAGTCCTTGCTTCCACTCCTGCCAGAGCCCCGCGACGGTCGAGAGGGAGCGCGACATCTTGTACATTGGTATCTGTGTCGGTGCGGGCGCGGGGGCTGGGAATGAGAGGCCGGCGGAGATGGAGGTTAGTGGTGACGAGGACTGGGTTGATGGTGTGGACGAGGTGTGGAGCGGCGGGGAGTAGGGTGTTGGTGGGTTCTGGGCGGGGGGGAGTGGTTGTGAGGTGAATGTTGGGGAGGGGATTATGCCGTTTGTGTTGCCGCCGCCGCCGTTGTTGTTGTTGTTGCTGTTGTTGTTATTGTTGTTGCCGCCGCCGCCGGGGCCGTTGACGCCGTTGACGTTGCCGTTGGTGTTGGAGGCGCTGATGCCGGGGTTGAGGTTGCTGGCGGTGATTGTGAGTGGGGGCGGCACGGGGGATGGATGGTGGGATTGTTGCTGCTGCTGCTGCTGCTGTTGTTGTTGCAGCTGCGGGGGTGCCGGGACGTGGGTCTGTTGCGGCGCTTGCACTACCGGTTGAGGCACGATCACGGTCTGCTGCTGCGGGTGCGGGGGTGCGTGGTCGTCGAATGCGACCGAGAGGTGGACGCCGTCTTTGAGGAAGTGCTTGATCAGCGGCTTGATTATTGTGTCGCCGCGGTGCGTCTTCAGCTTCGGCGTCGAGTGCGGGGGCTTTGCGAACAGCTCCCGGAGAACGGTTACGAGCGTCTGTGCGGCGCACGTGTTAGATGACGGTTTCTTTCTTGGTGGGGGGGACAAAAAAAGCATAGCTTTTGAATCTTCAACAATACGGGCAGTATGGCTGAGACATATGATCGGACAGGACAGGAGAAGAAGAAGGGTCTACAAACATCCCAATTCGACACCGCCGCGAGGGGGAGCGCAA